TTTGCAATGTTATCCATGATTCCACATGCATAATATTTATCACTTTTCATAAATTCTTGTTTTTTTCTAAGTCATTTCATTACTTGCATAATCTTCTTGTAAATTTGAATGAGTAATGACAAATGTATCTTTCAGATATTGAGCTAGTTTAAGCTTCACATAGGATCAAATGAATCTTGCTCCATAATTCATAGGTTACGATTGCATAAGTAATTGAAATTTGTGAGTTTATTCAATAAATTTATGCACAAACATCTAGCATCATGTATTTTTTTTTGCAGAATTTATAATTAGTCTTAAATTTTAATTTTATTGACATCGGATCAAATGAATCTTGAATGTTTTATTGATAATCTATTTGGTGTGATTGCATAACTTCTTGGAATTTATTCAATCATTCAGTAAATTTATGCATAAAAATGACTTACATTTCCAAATTTTTATTCACAGCAATATTAACAAATGACATTTTTATTGATATTTAATGGCCAAACACAAAAATATGAACCACATACATATAACATAAAGATGTAAATTTTATCCAAGTTCCCACAATGACACTAGTCACTTTACAATGTTGAGACATCTATAACGTTCAAACAGAAAAATGTTCAACGAAATTATATATATCACATTTGAAACTCTATCATATTCTACATTTTATTGAAAAAATTAGAATTTTTTTTCTAACAAAAGCATTTATGATAACATTTGTGTTTTTCTTATCATATATCTGATCAAGGATGTGTTTAGGCATATGATATTTGGTTGAAAAGGTTGAAAAGTAAAGTGTAATACATGATCAATTTGTCATATTTCAAAAGTTTTAATGGTTTTTTATCAGTGTTAAAAATTTAAATTAGTAAATACTAAGATGTTGATTAGTTTATATCTTTGAATAGTTTTTTATGATTATTAAATTTTATTAGATAACATGATCTAAATTCAATGTATTACAAAAAAATTACATTTTTCAATAAAAAATATATGAATTTTTAAAATATAAACCGGATTATAATGTTGATTGTTTTTTATAAAAACCAGAATATGTCAGATAGAAGTATAAAAATTGGAAAAACATACATTCAACCAATTCATGTTATCAAACATCTCCAACTCAAATCTTGAGAATACAAGTTTGATAAATAAATCTTCATCTTCAGCACAATTATGTCTATTTTCTTCAATCATGTAAAATAGTTGAATAAGGTATTAAATTATTTTATGATATATCTTTATTCGTTCATTACTTATTTTATGCTTCAAACAAATATAGCATCAACAAAAATTATACTGATTTCAAGATTAGCATATCCATATAGATGAAGAATTTATACACTTCTTTCGATGATGGTTTGAAAACATATGCTAATAAAATTGGTCTATAGAAAAATCAAATGTTTTTAGCATTGCCATGACTCTTGGTAAAAGTCAGTAATACTTTCGATGATGTTTTCTTTTCTTTTCCTAAGATCCATATGATCACTTACTGCGTTGGTAATTTGAGTCGAATGTAATGTTTAAGTCTTTTGAATAACATAGCAATTCAATCTGGCATGCCAACCTCTCTTGCTGAATGAATGCTTTAGTTGTTGCTCAAATCAATTCTTGCTACATACATACGTTGACAGCATCATCATCATCATCATCAGGGTTTTTCTAATGCCCAATTGTATCTGTAATCAATCATCTCTAACTCCTAAAGAACTTCTTCTTGTACTGACAGCCATGTGATCTTCTAAATTCAATAAGGTTTCAAGCTTTGGTTCCCTTGGTTTTGAACTTTTGGTTGCAGCTTGTTACTACCATCTGTATGGACTTACTTACTTTTAATGTAATATTGTGTCCCATCATAGTACGATGGTTTCATGGGCATTTTCATTTGAGCATCTTCTAATATTTTGTCAAAACTGTTACATAAATCCCTGCATTTGATATGAATTCAGTATCGGCATTGTGATACAAGGGAGTCGAGCAAGCAGTTGATGAATTGGCGGTCTTAAGAACATAGCAGACCCACTAATGGGGCAAGCTTTCTTACCGACTTCAATTTAAGAAAATGTTGAAGGGATCATATTTGCTGCTGCGAGGATAGACCTGAAATTTAGAATTTTTTGGTTCGGTGTAAGCCTTACACTGTAAGCCCACCCTGAGTCGGCCTTATGGGCCTTTAAATCTTGTTATGAAGATCGTAATCCTGGATCTGTTCCGTCCTTCTAAGAATTGTGATAAATAAATAAGTAAGTGATAATGTTATTCTTTGGCCTTGCTCTCAGAATCGATGAGCTGTTGATGTTATTCGTCGACCCTTGTATGCAAAACGTATAAACATTGGTCCATGTTTTGCTGTGTCTTACAAGACTGATTCTACTGATATTGGGAAGACAATGTCATAGCTCATGCATTCTATATATAATCATGTGGGTTGATGATTTTTCATGTGCTCTAGTAGCATGCATTGGTTTGCCTTAGATGAACATAATATATATACGGACTTTAGGCTTATTAGTACGTATTTTTCATTGTAGTGATATGCCATCTTACCCCTTGAGTATTTGATGGGATTTTTTTCCTTTCAGTAATTGCTACTGCACATTGAATCTCGAGTACTATAAGAGGCCAGAGATCTCAGATACATGCATGTACGCTTATCAAGCTTATCCACGTATTCGTATTCTCTACTATGCCACTCCACAGAAGACATAGTAATTTACCCCAAAACCCTATTAGATTCTCTTGTGATCCACTCTCACGTTTCATCACTTTGACACTTGCATGTGAAATACTAAAATTGTACCTTTGCAGTTGTAATTAAATGGCTACTCCAATGTATGCACTTCATTGATGGATGCTTTATTTACACTACGATTTACTCAAAATACTATTTACTTCAGTACTGTTGATTCACTTGAATAGAATAAAATATTTTCTCCACTCACAGAATTTTTTTAAGAGCTCTGGGTTTCCAAAAATAAATTGAAATTTCAAGAATTTTCGCAGTGCTAAAAAATTGTGATGAAGGAATTCTGAATTGTAATAATCATGACCATGAATGAAAATTTTATTTTTTTAATCATGACTTATGATTTTTTATGCATGAAATATTTTTTACTTTGATAAAGACAAATATTTATTCAAATTCCAGAACAACATTCTCAAAATTATTTCAAATAAATTGGAAATAGAAATTAAATTTTTTTTGAAAATTTGAACAATAATTAATCAGAATCTTTTCTAAATTATATAAGGATTAGATCATATTTATATATTACAATTCATGAATCAAATCCATGATGGAAAAGTTTTCTTTCTTTGAATTTAGAAGAATTAAACACATTCAATTGCAATTGCAAGAGGTTTCAAGTTATATTCTTCTGAATTAGGAAATTCCATATCAATATTAATATAAAAATAAAATTAGTATTCATGACCATGAATATTATTGATTGGTATACATCATAACAAATTTTTAGTCAATTTTTTCAAATGGCTTGCATATGCTAGCCGAAATATAGATTTTAAACAACATCAAACATCACATTTCATATAAAATCATATACTAGAATGATTTAAATTTAATAATTTTTAATTTTTTACAAACGTCCAAAAGTAACTTCTAGTCTCAATTTTAATGTTGAATTTATTTTGTAGTTTGAAAAACTCATGTTCTGTTCATGTTCTGCTTTCAAATGAAAAAGTACGAAGAAAAAAAATGATTTTTTTTAAATAATCTCTCTATTTTTTCAAATATGAGTTAATGGAAGTAAAGCAAGAAAAGGGAAGAGATTGCAATAAGAGATACGAAACAAACCGATGTGCGTGATTTGAGCCAAACCTTTCAGCTAACAAACTCAGTGATATATAAGCTTACAATATTCCACGCAGAATAATTCAATTCAAAATAAATTTATCCACTCTCCATCGTCGACGAAGAACGTGAGGCCAGAAGCGGTGTCACGTCTGGTCTCGTCCGGGGAGGGCGAGTTTCTTCGCACAGAGGCCGCCAAATTGCCGACCTTCGGGGCCTGTCTTTATTCTGTCGAATGGCGATCGACCACGCAGGGAAGATATATAGTATCGACGTCAGAGGCAGAGATCCGAGTCCGCTAGACTCGGACTCGGATCCGTGAAGTGGATCCGAATCTGATGGAGTCAACGAAGATCGAGAACGCCCTGACATGGTCGCAGAGCGACGTGGCGGAGAGCTGTGAGCCGCGCGCGCAGCCACGTTCAGAATGGCTTTCTGCCACGTTTGGTGCCCAGTGCGCCATCGACCTTTGGAGGCTTCGTGCATTCGCGCCAATGCACTGGTGCCAAATCGTCGAGATATATGTGCCCGGGCTCTCACTGGCCCGAATGTTCAACAATCCAGGCTTCGTACCCGATTTCAGAGGCTTGCTATTAAATCTGCCACAATTACAGACGCACACGTAGCTTGCGAGTTTACCATTTCTCGAATCGCTTACCGCGATGACTTGCATGTTGTCCATGTGTGAATGTGCACCATGTTAATTTATGAGCTGCACAGGTCTCGGACATGCTGTCCACCTATCCTTTGACCATGAACGGGGTAGAAACTCCGTGCTGATCGAGCCGTGAAGTCACGTGATGGTAGATGTTGGGCAACTGTACCGGATTGGATGGAATAAGTTCTGCCGGTGTGTATATTGACGAGATGATTCCTCGTCACCGGCGCTCGAAGAGCTCGAATTTTGCTGTAACTGCACCTGTTGCTTTCCTACTGTCTCCGTATTCTTTCGAAAGCAAGCCTAAACTCTGATTTGTACCGTCGTCAAGTTGTCCAGGGCAATAACCCTCCATTCGTGAGCTTTCCTCGCAGAGGAATATTTGTCGGGAGATCAATTCTACCGATTGTGCAAAAGTGTCAGCTTAGTGGTATTCCAAAGGGAATTTGCTACCTTACCGCCGTGCATTAAAAGTATCTAAATAGGAAAACTTTCATGTAAACTAGTGTCAGAAAGAGTCGTACAAAATGGTTCTTTTGTGTTCAAAGATTTTTAGACTTGATCCATTTACATAGTGGCCAGGATATCATCACTGGACCACCTTGGTATATACATACCATTTATATAAACACGATGCTGGAAGCAAGAGGGCTCCACTTGACACTTCTTGATATCAAGGTGCAGAGGTGTAGCTTCCTGCTAGTTTGGTGTGAAGCATGTACTTAGTGAGACAGATTCAGAAAGATCTGTACAGTGAAGTTCCATGAAGCAAAGAAAGAATGTTTTGCTTTCACCAGTTTCCACTGACTCCTACACTGCCTCAACGCAAGGATCCTGAGCTTAGTACAGTTTCATGTGAATCTTAATTACAGGGTCTGCTTCGATTACCATCCCTTTCCGATAAGCCACAACCAATCGAGCACAACTCCAGCAAAAAGTCCCACCACAAGGGAAGTGACCAGAACATTACCAAGTGCATTCTGCTCAGGGCCCTGCAGATACAAATAGGACAAAAAGCACATACTCTTTGTTAGCTATGTCTCGCCTCCCCACAGTCAAAATTACAGAGGAAGGTTGATTCAACTACGTCTCCGCTTCTAAACTGTCACATCTTTCTGTCTAAATCAAACCTAAAAACATGATTTTGTTAATAAATGTTAAGTCAATGGCTCTTACATAGTTCAGCTAAAAACAAGACTATTTATGGTAATAGACACTCGATATTCGCGGCCCTGTGCTTCATATCTGATTCAAATCTCCCTTCAATCTAGTGGAGGTTGGACTTGACTTTTGCCATGTGTATTGCGCATATGAAAATGGATGAATTAGTCAGGAGCAGATTCAAGACCGGTAATCTTTGACCTGAAGCAGTAAAAGTCTAAAGTTTCGACACTTGAGTCAATCTCTCAAAGATAATGCAACAGCCAACTCAGTTGCAAAGTACGGCAGAAGTCTGGATCATGCTTACCGTATAACCCCGAGGAGCGTTCACAAAAACGCAGACAGTTATGTAACCATTTGATATGCCGAGTATTATACACAACATCAGCATCCATCCTTGCGTGCCATACTTTGCAGCAAAGTAAAAGGCCGGTATAAATATGTATCTGAATAACGAGAACGCCATGAGCCCTGGTCGAGACCTGAGCATTAGGACCTTAATCTGAGGTAATAATCTGCCGAGAAGATCGCCACAATTGTACATTGCTATCAATAAGACGGCATACCTGCAGTACACGAAAACCACTCTTTTCAGGTTTAGAATTTCCAACAAACCATTCCTGGATTAAAGAAAAGCATAATCAAAGCAACCCATGTTACTGGTAGATAGCACATTATAATTTTATTTTTTAAATGGGCTAAAAGACAAATGAGCTTTGACAGCCTTCATGTAACAATTTCTTACCAGGTGCCAAGAGAATGTTTGCCTGTGTCCTCTGACAGAAAACCTGGGAATATGGAAAGGGTGAGTGTGTAGGTCAGAATGATCACTGTGGCATAATCCCAATTCTCCTTCAATAGCTGTCCGGTTGTCCTCCGTGTAGGTACAGGTGATTCCAAATCCTGCGCGCCCCGAGAAAAACCCTCAGAGATGGTCTCAAACACTTGAAAGGACATAAAGGCCAGACAAGGAAGAAAATACGCTTTTGCTCTAGAAGTAGATAACGTGATTTAAAATAGCACATGGTCAACTATGAGTGCTTAACATGCCAGGAGAAAAGCGCACCAACTAGGCTATGATCGTGCAGCCAGAGAGGATGACGACTGTTCTGAAGTGCACTATCTAGCATACTGATAGTCTAATAACATTGGGCAAACAGAAGGGCAGAACTTAGAAAGAAGAGAAGAAAGGAATGACTGAAAGTAGACCCTGTTTAGGCTGCCATTGTAGAGATATATCTAGGGCCCAGTGACCATCATAAACAGCTGATTGACAAGCACCACTTTGCCATCTCGGTAAATTACATGTGCAGAAAATATGCCCTTGGCAGAAAGTAGAAGCCACAGATGTCACTTTCATAAGAACGAAAAGCATGAAGATCCTAGCAAGATTTAACCAGCTGATGATTGAGATACAGGGCATAGAGAAGAGAGCCTATCGCTCAATTTGAGTGTCTAGTTTCTCCCGAGATTTGCGTTTTTTACTTGACTGTGTAAGAAATCTACATTTTTATTCCCCTTTGGTTTGTAAGAATATATTAGTCAAGCAATTAGAAGAGGTTTGAACTAACAGAGAAGCGACATAGACAGTAGAAGCTTTTAGTATTTTCAACACAGAAGACATACATGTTCTACATGATTAAAGCTCTCACCTTCGCAGGTACTTTGTTGGTGAGACCACTGGCTGCGAGGTCGGCTATCACGGTTTGTGAACCTTGAGATGCAGCCTTAGAGCGATAGTATTTTACAATTTCGAGTTTGGGAAAGATAAAGGCGTATAACAGAAAGCACAAAACCTCGAAGAAGGCGGATATGAAGAAAAATACAACTGCGCGAGGCAATCAACGGAGCTCCGATCAGCAACTTAGAAACTTCGCTCAATTACCAGACACACTTGTCTACCATTTGTCATGACGACTCTTTCTTATGACTGACGGTAGCTTCAATTACGGTAATCCATATCCCCCTTCCCGACATTTGAAGAGGTGCAGACACTCACGAGCTCCCTTTCGGAGACCATTCTGTGTGCCCTCAAAAGCTCCTTTGGTGATAAGTCGAAGAACTGATGTCAAAACTCCAGACGTCGCAAGTCCCGCAGAAAATCCCTGTTTTTTGATATTCACTGTTGTAAAAACAACGTTTCCCTTCGAGATGATCGATCGACTTCTAACATCAATTAGCAGTACTACAAAAAGACTATTAGGCAAATCACCTGGATGAAGTCAGGGTGCATGTAAGACAGGTCACCCAACATCCCTCCTTGCGAACAAGCGTCGGCCACCCCAAACATAGCTACAAATATACAAATTCCTACGTAAACACCAATCCCTCCTTTTCCTGAAGTTGCAAGGTCCAGCTGCAAGACGAAAATTGATAACGCTTAAATTTTTCGAAAGATACCGGGGAAATTTCAAGCTGTAGAAATGATAACAGGGCTCTGAACTTCCTTCAGTTCAATCTGATGGTGACCATGATAAATGCGGCACACTAGTTTAACAAGATCCAGAATAAACGTGGCATTATGTGCACTTTGCTCAACTGGTCTCATCGCTCTGCAGTGCAAATAACTGCCTCGTCGGTACGTAGAAGCAGTGCAAAAAGGCAGCCGGTGAGATGTTCGACAACTAGCTCACAATTTAACAGTACACTAGCAATTAAATGCTTTCGAGAACACGCGGGTGCAACCTCAAATATCAAAGTGGACTAGTTGATATGCTTGCAAATGCCACTGATGAATTGTACGCATGGTGTGTGGCTTGGTACCAAGGGACATAATCGGGAGAATAGACAAGGCTGAAAAGATTGTTTATGGATGTATTATGCCATGTCTTGAGAAGTCTATACAATTGCACAGAAAAAAATACAGTTGATCCAAACCGGATATCGATACTTACAATTGGTATAAGAAGAACGGCGAAACAAAAAAGACCATATCCCGACAGGTTGCGTGCTCGAGTGTTCAGTCGAGCTTCATAAATCGTGAGAATCACCATAGTTATCAACGCGAATGGTTGATAAACTAGAGTAAAAACTCTTGCGGGGTGATAGTCCTACATCCAGTCAAAAGCGAACACAGACGAGCGAGAATAAAACAGAAGAAGCATCGTAAGTCTTCATTGTTTGCACAAGCTCTCATTGTGACATTCTGCACCAAAGGCTGTAACGTCGAAATCAGACACCATATTTATTAGAATATCTTGAAGACCATAGAAACCACTCTATACCTGGGATGTGCTAGTAACAAAGGAAAGAGAAAAGTATTGACGGAGGATAAGGTCGAGGAGCAATATCATCGATGAATAGTTTAGAACTTAAGAAGTCTTTCTTACATTATAATTTTATAGGTGATGTTACCAGTACCAACAAGGAGAAGTTCAACCAGATCATCCACTTCTTTCGGTTTACAGACCCAGAAAATAAGCTCAAAGAGCGACAGCTTTGAGCTTTGGAACCGAGCTACGGAAATTGAGAGCACCTGGGGCTCCACCAGCTAGCGGACGTTTTGCTATAATTTCGCTCTCATCTCGCGAGCGCAGAGCAGGGAGGTTACGAATGTATGTCCTGCCCCCCGTGCTAGATGGTGTACAAGTTGCTATCGTAGGTCTAATTCCTGTGTTTGAGAGGGATGGTCCCAGTCCAGAACTACATGCTGCAAGCAGGTGCCAAAGAAAAACCCTCTGAATAGTACCTCTGAAATACAAAGATTCGCGATATATCGTGGAGATGGGTGAACATATTGTGATTTGGTTCCTCTCTGCTTTCTTGCTCTAAGTTGCAGTTACTGCTTTCGACTTCAAGAAAGAATCCGTTACCTTTCGCTCCCATGGTTCCATGCAGGCAGTGAAGGCAAACTTGCTGCCTTCACAATGTTCTGTACCCAACTCAACCAAGTCTTAGCAGGTTTTGATTAACTTTGACAAGTACTTATAGCATCCAGAAAAACTGGACGCTTTTGATGAGATGGCGATTGGTGAGTCTGCCCCCTCCACTTAAGTTTAGAAATGTCTTAAAGAACTTTACGGTGAGCCCTTACTCCTACCCCACCCGTTTGAAAAGTTGCTGAAACAGTAGCGAAAGGCTTTCATAGGCTTTCATAGATAGTGCTATCAGGTCCATACTGTTAAAAGCAAGCGTGTAATTGGAGACCAGTTGAAAGCTCAGCTGCGGAAATGCCCCATTGGCCAAGAAGCTTGGTGGACCCGTTTCTGCGTCTTCTCAATGAACTTTTGTACGTGAAGTTCTACCAACACCGTAAACAGGGCATTTGGGGTGACACCTGATCGACCCAAATGCCCTGCTCGTTTCGCCCCCTCAATTTGTCCACTGGATATCGTCACTCCACGTTTATGGACACAACAAACTTTGAGCTCCAAGAGCTTCCCCACCACTTCCACTCACTCGTCAGAAGTCATCGACCAACATCAGCGCTAGCATACTGCCCAGCCCACTTTCCTGATGAGTTTCTCGAAGAGGGTTACAGAAATATGAAAAAGCAGTTTCGAGGGACGGGGAAGCTCGGAGGTCACTCTGCTGGCTGTTTACGAAGACCGTGCTGATACTTCTGTGGTACAGCTCTTTCACAGATGATCCGAAAGCCCATCCCGCCAGAACTTATTGCATAGCGAGGTCCAAGAGGAGGCAAAAGCAGTTTTCAATTCCATTTTCCTTCCCGCTTTCACTTGGTCACGAGTGAAACAACGTCAATAGAGTCTATGCATTGGCAAACGCCTCCCTGTCCCTCCCGAAGAACATGCAGCTTCCAAAAGGTGAGAGATTCAGGAGTTGTGTGTTCCAATTACACTGAGAAGTTCACAGAACTGAAAGCAACAAAACGAGCACGGAATTTCGAACTCACTGGGAAGAGGTACCCGAAGTAGTCTTCCACCGTAAGTAGACTATTCCACGAGAAAAGGCAACCATTGCCGAGCAACCAGCATACGATGTAACCTAGGGCCTTTCCCTGCAAGAGAGTTGCCAAAGAGTCGTGATTCGTCAACATTTGTTGCCTCAATTCGTCAACTATCAGCCTGGAATTCAAGCCCTTCCGACGAAGTGATAAAACCAACTTCACAGGAACTGAATCCAGGCAGCAGAAACTCAACCTTTGTTGGCTCGGAGCCATCGGCGGCAACCTGCTTCATGTTAGTGTTGTCCATCTCTCGAGGCTAGCTCAAGCAGAAGGTGGACGACAGAGTCTGAGAATCTCCAAGCCCGCGAGACCTCATCCGGCGCCTCTCAGCAGCAGCACATTTGCTCACGGCCAGGATAAGGAGAAGAAGGCCTCATGTTCCCTCCCCATGATTTATCTCCACCACGTGTCTACGGCCCGGAGTGCGGCCACGAGATAAATTTCGCCATCGCGGTGCATACCGGGAAATTGCGCAAAGATAGAACCGAGATCCTCTCTTGGGATTTGTACCTTCTTCCTTTTCCTGTTCGCTCCCGTTCGCAGCATGCGGAAGAATCTCGAATCTCGCCGGAATAGGCACAGCAGCAAACACTCAACGTCGACGCGACACTGCCATTCGTCTCAAATCAGCTCCCACCTTTGATTTTGCCTTGAATTTGTTCTCCGACGACATGTAGATTAAAGAGAAGTCTGCGCACTTGTTTACATCGACTGACAGACGGGCGGGTACGACATGGGCAAACACGATCTACTGTTTCTGTTCAGATTCCACGAGCGGCGTGAGTGAGCGATTGGGAAAAGCACGGACTGTTTGCTGTAATCGAAGATCATATGCTCGGAAGTTGGAAGAGGCTGTCACGTGCAGAACTCCGCTGGTCAAGAGGCCGAGCTCGCCTGTCAGTTCCAGATTTCGCACAGAATGTCGAGAAAGAATCAGCTGCTTATAATTCGGATGGTGGATCGGTGCGTGAGTGCGGGCGCTAATTCTGACCAGGAAATTCACAGGGAAGCATCAGAATTAGCGGATCTGCTCTTGCGAGGGAAAGACTTCGAATTTTGATATGGGCTGACGGTACTTACCCGTCATTGCCGCCTCCTGGTCCTGACTCCGGTTTGCGAATCACTGAAGAAACCGATTCTTCGCTGCACTTTTCCTCGATATGCGCAACAGCTGGACTGGCTGCTGTCCGTGAGAACCTGTGAGCATGCATGGACTGGCTGCTGTCCGTGAGAATCTGTGCGCATGCATGGACTGGCGTCAGAGTTTTGTTTCTCGAGTTCTGCATTTCCTCCTGGGCCACTCTTCCAACTCATGCTCACTCATTCTTTTCCACCTCGCATTCATCGTGCTCTTGTTCGCCTCTCGCCAGTTCATAACTAGACTTCAGATGGAGGTGGTTTGTCTTTGGACCTTAAGGATGAAAGATCTCTTCCTGCGTTGATAAATCTATGACCCATTGCTCATGATTTGGTATTGGTGTGGCTCTGGACTTGGAGATGATGATGTCATCCACCTCCAAAAGCTCTAATACATGGTATCACAGCTGTGAAGTCTCAAAAGCCACAATAACCAGAATCAGATCTTCGTGACTAGTCTATGGGTATCAGGGACGCGAACAGCGATTACACAATAGACTCTTGGTTGCAATAGCCTCTTTCGGTTCCAGTTTGAGCACGCGACGACGTCGTTGTACACACGCGCATCACAAGGGAATCAGGGAGTGTCAGCATTATCGTCTAGCCCAAGCTAACGTCCACGGAACTACATCGAGTGGCCACGAACTACATCGAGCTAACGTCCACGAGTAAATGTTAATATTGGTCAGTCAAAGAAGTGTGTGAGATCTTACTTTATGGAGTACTGTATAGAGTTGACAAATGATTTGGTACACCATATATTTATGTCTTGCGGCAATCCTCCCAAAGTGTGAGCAAGGCAAATGTATTTACTTTACAGTATACACTATGAATTGTAGTCTACAATGCATTAACTGTTGGAATGCGAATTATCATTCCTGTACAAAACTTGGTTTTCATGTAGTATCTTCAGTACTTTCGATTCACATCTGTACATGAGTAAAGACTACTGTGAGTCGACTAATGTACAGACGTGAACTGCAAATATGCAGATGTAGATAAGATTTTGTTTTCAGCTTGAATAATGTCAACCCACGAGGATCTCACGAAGAAAAGAGAAGACACATCCAATCCTGACTTTGGTGCACATAATACTGAAAGTAACAAACACGCTTCCGTGGAGATAAAGGGACAAATAACTCGGCCCATAAATTAAAAATGGCAAAGCTGTTTTTCTTGAAACAGCATGTACATGACGCAGCAAGGATCGTAATATGGCGAAACATATGGCTTGTTCTGCTTAGAATAGGAGCAAGACACTACCCAACGTTCCATACCTTTTCCAAAAAATGTATATGACATTTTTGAAAACATTACGATTTACAAAAAAAGCCTAGAAGCAGTTCCAAGGTTTCCACGAATTCAAAGCATAGAGAATCGTAAATCGACATCTACTCTTATCCAGCGTCTTCTGAAGTTTTCTCCTCCTGGACAATGTGCAAGATATCTGGAGAGGTAATCTAGTTTGCTAGCTGGCTCTCAAGTGAGATCTCTCCAGAATAGTGCGAGCAAACTTCAGTTTACAACAACAATTACAGAGTACAAATCCTTTGGGAGATAATGCAAGTGTGGGCTATCAGCTCGTAATAGAGCGGTGCCATAACGTTTGCTTTAACCAATTCAAGTCTGTCAGAAAAGATTCTACGGCCCTCGTTCTCTGACTGTTACGAAACTAACTAACTTCAGATGTTATCCCCACGTAGCAGAGGCTTTGTGACTCAATATGCAGCACTGGGTAATGCTGCGGAGCAAACCACAGCTTTGGCCAGTCCTAAGTTTTAAGAAGTGGTTCCTTATTTTCAGGTAGAAGGGGGGAAATCCTCAAAATGGGAGTAAAAACCAATACAATGGGAAGTAAAGGGGGATATCGTCAAGAACAACCCGGACCTAGTGTTGGCCTCTACAAGTGAACTGCAAAATTTGCCACAATGTGGCTGGGAGGAAATCTTACGAATCCCGAAGTTCAACCTCTGACGGAAGGCACGCTCGGCTTCAATATACAAGCGCCTTCCATTCTAGGCTCTGAGCTCACTACTAAAACCAGCTCGATGATTCTACAAAAGTTCTAGTATTACAAACAATGTTCCAATACAACCTGTCGGTGAAATAGAATGGAAAGCCCATGCTAGCTTGACTTTCTCTACGATGCAATTATATCATGACCAAAGGAGAACAGCGATCAGGTATCTGATATGTACAGAGGATTTACAATTTGACACAAGCGCCAGTAGTAGGTATTCATTTTCCCGACAGATCAGTCTAGACAGTGGGAAAATGTTGCGAAGCTTTGTGATCGGCCCATGCCTGCGGGATCAGAAAGACTTGAAGGAATACTCCCTTACAAGCCTCGAAAAGTAGGTACATTTGTCTTCCAAGAGTCTCATGGGAGCATCATATTCTGCAACCAAGCCTGCAATCAAAACATATCCAGTCGTTGTTTGTTAAGCAGAATCGTAAGAAAGGACAATAGAACCTGGACAACGATAAGTTCGAATCTGGTAGGGTACAGAGAACACGTGAACGCGTTCTGTTACGTACCATCAGAGAGAACCAGTACATAGTCGCTATCAACAACAGTGGGAATACGATGGGCAACCGTAACGACAGTGCAAGCTGCAAACTCTGACCGAATGGTGCGCTGGATAACACCATCTGTTGCACTATCAACAGAAGCAGTTGCTTCATCTAGCACCAGTATTCGAGTGCGTTTAAGTAGTGCTCTCCCCATGCAAAGCAGCTGCCTTTGTCCCACGCTCCAGTTCTCTCCATTCTCACTGACTGCATGGTCAAACACAACTCAGATTAAGGTCTTCAGGCCTCTCTTTGTGCATTACATGTTCCAGAACCTGGTCACCGCACAGAATCTTGATGAAGAAATATCCGGATAGTATAACCTCACCTGACGCCTCCAGCTTTTCTTCCTTCCCTCGCACTACATCTCCTAGTTGGCACTTATCCAGAGCCTGCGAATCACAAGTACGAAACAACATTAATACTCACAGACATTCATAATCCAGACTCAGTTGTCTGTGTCTGGATTATGAATATAACACGGATTCGACTTTTTTGCAAAGCAGACGACAGTATGATATCACAAACCGTATGGAACACCTCTTCGACATATGCTGATTTTCGTCGAAAAAGAGGCTGAAGCTTGATTCAACACAATGTCACAAGGTCTTCAAAATCAAAACCAAATTAGCCATGATTCTTAATATAAAGCTCATACCGAAGTCCGCTCATATGACATGGGATGAATGTACATTTTATCTACAAACATTCAAAATATTCCCTGATATAACAAGGTAACCTTAAAATTTCTAACGAGCTCACACATACCTCCCATATTTCTGCATCGCTATGTTCCTCCATAGGATCGAGGTTTCCTCTTATCGTTCCTTCAAAAAGAGTAGGATCCTGTGGGATGATGCTTAGTCTAGACCGCAGATCATGAAGTCCGATCGTGGTGATGTCAACCCCATCGATCAAGATCTTGCCCCCAGCTGGTTCTACCATTCGAAAAATAGCTTGTATGAGAGTGGACTTTCCACTACCCGTACGTCCAACGACACCAATCTTCTTTCCTCCTGGAAATGTACAGGTGATGCCATGTAACACCAATGGACTGTGCTCGCTATATCGTACCTGAAAATTGTCATAGGATTTAATCGCACATGTGATTCAATTATAACTCTAAGCACTCATGCCTCTGCTACGGAGTTTACACCAGCAGTATACACATTTCACGTTACTATCCTAAAGAAAATTCAAAAATTGAGCATACATGTATAATATCTATCAAACCAGCTGTCTGTAGCAGACTCCGTAAACAAGTGCCTGTTTCCTTCGCAAACGTCTTCTACAGCAGGTGCAAAAATATGTTGCCTCTCAAACACCCATCAAATAAACATGCAATTTCCGAAATTCTTCTCTTAAGGACATACGTGAATCTACAAATTCATGTCATTCAACAACCATTGGTGTCAGGTAAAAGCTTGTAATACTGAGAGAGATGTAGCAAACAATTTGAATCTCCAAGACTCAATGAATGATATCGATAAGAAATACACCTGCAAATGTTGAAGCTTGATTGTTCCATATATAGGCCAATTTTTTGGAGGACGACAACCCTCAATCTCCAGAGGAGCTTCACTTGGCAGCTTTGTAAACTGTTGAATCCGTTCAACTGAAATGATCTTATTTTCCACATTGCACAAATTCCACACCCATCGAGACTGCATAGCGTTCAACTGCAACCCATAAGTAACAGCAAGACCTGCCATGCCTGACAAACACACAACCATATCAACAAGCATTCAGCAGTCGGCTGCACTGTTTGTTTCACTATGGTCACTGATTTGTATTACTACAGAACAAATGAAAACAAGAACCTGAACTGAACTTAAAGGTAGCGTCAAGTGAACGTCTAAGGCATGAGACTGAGCGTGTATAGAACAAGTTTTCTTTCTTCATACAGTTTACACAAAGTTCTTACTTGGATCTATTATGCCGGGTGGAAACATGATGACAATCATCATCGAGGAAGCAAATACGAAGGTGGAAAGAATTTCCATCCTGATGATCAACCACTCGATAGCTGAGAAGTTGTGAAAGAACGGACGTGCATATCGGTCGAATAGCTTGAGATTAGTTTTCATGAATCGCTGTTCTTGCCCGAAACCTCTGATTGTGGCTGCTCCATATATTGACTCCGAATAATGGTGAACGATTGGAGACTTTTGGATGCCCACCAGTCGTGACAATTCTCTGGCCGATGCCATGTAGTAGCGCTGCAGAAGGTACAAATCGATATATGTAAATGTCATGATTAGAAAATAAAGATCAGGGTACATTTGATGAGACCAAGGTTCCTTGCTTGCAAAACGACCACAATCTCTACTAAAGTAGATGAGTGATAGATGCCGCAAGGAGCAAATGGAGTTTGAAAGTAAGGTGAGGGAAACCTAGCGATACTAAAGATAGCAGGTGACAAAACAATTTACTTGGTTGGAAGCTTTAAATACTTCTCGACGACCTGTCCTCCGCTGTTTCCTTTAGTTTGTTCAAACAACCTCTACATTTCCTACTTCAATTCACTGCAGTAACAAGAAAAAGTTATAAAACTCAGTACTACAAAGAAAAGAATGGTACCTGAATACAGATGCAAATAGCAACTACTGGCGCAAAAAGAATTAACACTTCCCATGTTACTTGTGACATCACAGCAATAACACCAACCAGCTGCACACTTGCCACCATCATACCACTAAATCGGAAGTGCATGTTCAGATCCAGTACACTCTGGTCAGAGGATGCCTGATAGAAACAACAGGTGAGACACATACAAGAAAGTAAGTACCTAGTACCTAGAAAAACTCTTCAAGTTTGCAACACATCAAAAGTGGCGCCTGATTGCAATATTTTTTTGCTAGAATGCGAAAAGATCGAAAGGTAGCAAGGACGTACTCTGCTCAAGATCCGACCAGTAGGTGTTGAATCAAAAAATGCCATTGGAGCCCGGAATATATTTCGAAGCATGTTCAGAAAGTACTTTTGAGCCGTCAAAAGTCCTACGAACGAGACCAGCATGGCCCGACAGAAAACAAATATAGAACTACCGAAAGCCAACGACACATAGACAAGGATGAGCGTGAGATTGTTCACTTTCTGCTCCTCTCCTGCTACAGCAGGAGTCGCCCACGCCATCCAGTAACTGCTCCCTATCTGCAATACTTGAAAGAGTACTTGTACCAGAATGATAACTGGAATGTATGCGCCATGAGAAACTGAGGTCAGGTATGTCCAGTAAACTTCATAGCGTACGCTGCCTGTCTCACGCTGCTCATCCTCCACAAGCTGCCGAGGTTTGTCACCTCCAGTCTCCTCCTTGTCGATATACTCAGTGATGGTTTGCTCCGAATCGGTGGTACTGAGCGTATCGCTATCGTCATCACCGTCCAAGTCATCACAATCATCTGGGAATCCCATTTCAAGTTCATCTTGTCTCAAATAGCCGTTCACGTCCATGGACTCCAACGCCTCATTGTGAGCACCGACAAGAGTACTGAAATCCGTTCCAGCCTGTAGAAGGTCTTCGTATTGCCCAGCTTGCACAATTTCTCCATCTCGCATTACCTGATTGTGGTCAACATCAATTTCTGTTTTGTATCCAAGGCTAGCGACAGCAGACGTTTCTGCCCATACCGTGCATTTTGACATTTGACTTCCTTCTTCCTCAAATATGATGGCTTACATATGGAACTCTGAAAATAGTTGGCGAGAAATTCTGAACTACAAACGTTCACAGCTACATGTATGATGAAGCCAATGAAAGCCAGTACCATTTACTTTGAAGAACGAGGCAGCTGCCAGATAAATACAGTTACACGGACTGCACCGTCCTGCAGCTCTCTCTAGAGGTACCAAATTTCTGTATTATCTTCTGCGCAGATAAACTTTGACAGCAGTAACCAAATTCAAGCGTTATGAGGTGAGACGTACCAAGATAATGTCCGCTGCTGGTAAAAAGTCCACCTGATGTGTTACATATATCACAGTCTTGCTCGCCAACGTCATAAGAACACATTCCTAGAATTGAAGTTAAGTCAGCCATAAGGATAACCTGGATTGAGCATAGAGTCAATTCTATGTAGAGTGAGCAAACTGTAAAAGCACGAAATTCCCAAAACGAAAGATAGGCTCTAATATCCTTGCTGTATAAGATAATGTGTTCATTTCTAAGCTCTCCAGGTAGTACACAGAATACACATAGACCGTTCACTCACTTTAAAGAGGTAGCTACCAGTATGGGCATCGACAGCACTAAAAGGATCATCCAATAGATAGACGTCAGCATCTTGATAAACAGCCCGAGCTAGCTGAACCCGCTGTTTCTGGCCTCCACTCAGATTTATTCCCCTCTCGCCAATCTGTGTCTGATCACCGAAGGCTAATAGCTCCAAATCCTTTTCCAGTGCACAAACCCGAAGGACATTCTTGTATCTCATGTACTCCATTGGACTTCCAAATCGGATGTTGTCTTCAATTGTACCACTTTGTATCCAAGGAGATTGAGCAACGTAGGCAGTTGTTCCAGTAACTTTAACCTGCATCAAACAGTATCAATTTGAGTACATAGTCTACAGTACTAATTTCAGTTTGTTTCGCAAAAGACGTCAGTATACTTGAAGTCTCTTAAGTTCATGCTGTTGCACACCACAAAAGCACTGACTCCTTCCGTCACTCTTGGCTTGTTACAACAGTTTTGATTCTGGCCAAATGTACTGCAAGAAACTAATGCTCCTAAGCGATGGTGTAGTAGGTGGAAAAGTTTCTTACAGTGCCAGTAATCTTGGGTATTTCTCCGAGGATGCATGAAAGAAGACTCGACTTTCCAGAACCAACAGTGCCACAAATCGCCACACATGCTCCCCGACTAATGTGCATATTTATATGCCTTAATGTTGCAACTTCCGCGGATGGATCCCAGCTAAAATTTCCTCCTTCTATTTCCAGCGACGAATAATCTTCGTCTTCTCCATCCAATCCGGCCTCTTCATATGATAAATGAATGACATCATCAAGCGGCAACTCTTCTTCCTGTAGAAAGCTCTTTAAACGATCTAGTGAGACTTTGGTTTGAGCCATTACAGTTACCAAGTCCGGAAAGCCATCTAGAGGAGACTGCAAAGCCCTGAAAGTAGCTATGGCCGACAGAATCCTCCCGGCAGTAAGAGGGACACCTAAAAATACACAGGTCCCAAACGTGGAAGCAGCTACAAACATCGGTGCAGACCAGAAAATGAAAGTGGAAGCAGCTGCAGCATAGAGCGCTTTTGCCAGCCAATCACATTCTATTTTCCTGAGATATTCCAGCTTTTCGAGATACCTTCGTTCCCATGCTTGCAGTTTCAAAATTCGCATGCTCCTCAAAGCCTCTGAAAGAGCTTTCATGCGCTCGTCTTTAGCTTCCATCAATTTGTCTTGAAAACCTTCTGAAATGTTTGCCACCGGCTGATTGATGAGTAAAGTGATTCCAGTGGCCACGAATGTCGCTATAGCTGCTAAACCAACCGTTTTGTAGAGAATAGCCAAAGCTAGAAGCACCTGTAAGGGCAGAACCCAAATGTCGTGCAGATACCAGGAGAATTCGCCGACACGCTCCACATCCACAGCCATGTAGTTGATAATTTCTCCCGTTGCATGGCTCATCCGAGATCGGCTCGATAAGCTAAGGCCTTTTCGATACACGAAAGCTGTCAATGCAGATCGAATATGAAGACCCAAAACCTGAGTTCCGAACTGCCATTGTCTCTGGGCAAGAGTTTCTATGAACTTGGAACCAAACAGACTGATGACCAGAACGTAGCCTTCATATCGAAATCTTCGCTTCCCACCAAGATAATTGACGAAGTCAACTATCAAGTAAGGACCAACATATGTTGCACAGGAGTTAATTGCGGCAAATGCACCTGTCCACACAGCTTCCCTCCAGAAAGATTTGACGAGGGCCTTAGCGAGAGATGGTGGACTTGAAGGTTTGTCCTCCTTCAGCTTATTCCAACTCGCGCTGAAAGCTGAAAAGGATGCTTCTGCTCTATCCCTGGGTATAAGCAAAGGGATGTCCTTGAGCTCCAGATGCTTCCGTCTACCGACAGCAAGTAAAGGATTGAGCCAAGATATCGTAGCTGAACCAATGAAGCTTGTTTTGCTGTAATCTGTGACCCTTTGCTTTCCGCATTTCTCATATTTATGTCCATTCAAGAGAGGCTCTTGCAGACCATCGTTCGCCTGGCGGAAACCCGTGCTGCCACGCACTGCCATGAGAAACAAGTAACCTTCTGCGACACATGATGTCGCGTCCCAAAGTCCTGTCAACGAAAAAAAATTATTGCTGTCTGGCAGCACATAGTACCTGGGAAGAGCCGACAGAGACCAGATGAAAGAGAGAATCCACCAGGCTCGCAGAAGACCTGGATATCTCTCTCTGTTTGCACCACTTGAATTCTTCGTTAAAAGCGATATGACCAGCCAGGCTATTCCCTGGGTCACCGCAGCAGATGCAATGAGAACTGGATACTTTTGCCATCCTTGAAACCAACCAAACAGCAGCACCCATCCGGCAATAACCCAATTCAGTACCAGAAGGCAGACGCAGGCACCAAGCGTCGCTTTGTAAGCCAATCTGAGGTCTGGTTTTTGGCTTAACGATTTGCGATTCTTCGACGAGTCATTGTTCGCCCCACCACTGGAGGTAAGTTTATTTCTCCAGACAAAGCATCCAGACCACAGGGTGAGAAAGAAGAGGTGAAGAATGACGGCGCCGATATGATGACCGCAGGCTCTAAGCACAAATTTCAAAGCAAACTTCTCCCATGGTAGCTCTCCACCGTGCGAACTGTTGCATGCGCTCTGTAGATGACAGGTGCTCCTATTATTCTCCCCTATATTACACAACGAGCCCAACAGTCGGGATACTGCACAAAGGCCACCATATTCCACCCGTCATGATACGAATGAATAAACGATCAAAACTCCGTATTCCATCTTCCGCAGGTGCTGCTAAAACTGCAAGATGAGTAATAGTTATATAAGCCTATCTGAATGTTTTTGTCTAGAGTCAATTTGATGTCACCTGGAAAAAAACAGAGAAAGCGGTAAACGAAAAAGGAAAATAAACGTCAAAGTTATCGTTCGGTAACACATTCATCTTAGACTGCCTGCGGACAATTTAGACGGTGGTACTTCTATGATATGTTTTGAAGTCCAGGAACGGAAATGATGGTTGTTGCGGGGCGCTCTACAAAGATTTCTGCTCATGATTCACGAAAGTTTTACGCTGCAGCTGAATTGCGGACCGAAGGACTCGCGTTGAAGATTGTTTCGAGAGCAAGAAATCGCAAGAAAGCTCTAATTTCACCTTGACTATGCAATAACTGGATGCGATTTGCATCCGGTTATGCATTAGAACTGAATTATGCCGAAATTCGCCGAATTCATTCACAATAAAACATGTTCCTACCTGAGCGATAACACTAAACTAGTAAGACCCATGCAGGAGATCTCCGACACAGGGAGGCGGGTTATGGCATCTGGAAAGACCTTCAAATCGGAACAAATTTGAAGGCAAAAAGCGGTGTGGTGTCATCGTGACAGACTGCGGAAATTCTTACCAAGAAGAGTTTCAAATGCTGGAGTTTATACAGTCATGATGTGGTGACTCGCAATAAGTCTTCTGCGATTTTAAGAGGGTTAAAATTACGCACGCGAGAGAGCGACGCATGTCCATCCGAGCTACGTCATTGATGAAATGACACAGAAGGATTGTCCACGCAAACCTTCTCGGATGCACGTGACGTGAAAATGGGATCCACGAGCTCAGCATCCGTTAATATCCACTGGGGACCGGTACCTCCAAAAGCCACTACTGCACCTCCAAATAAACGTCGAGAGAAAGTCCCAATTAACTCAAAGTGCGAGGTCCAGTGGTACGAACAAATTCAGAGAATCTACACCTCAGTCTAAGCTACCCGTCCTTGCGAATATTACCTCGTATCGTTAATCGTTCGTGCGACGCGTTAAGAGTAGAAAGGAGCCTACGTATCAGGACACCGAGCGACTGTGACATGGGAAGAGCATCACAACGCAATTCTTGATCGCCACAACTTGACAGCTGAAAACCGAATTCACACAAACCAGCACCAGAAATCGCACAGCGGCAGAAGAACTTACCGTCCATTGTCCTCCTTCATTCATAACGAAAAAAGTCTTATTCATCCGCCTCTGCCTCCTCCTCCTCCTCCTCTAATGCCTCGGCTGCATCACTACCTCCCCCGCGGACACAAGAAGTGAATTTTCATCACCAAATTATTCCCGTCATCCTCGTTCTCGCGAAAAGATCCGTGACGCCAAAAGAGCAATGCCCACCAGCTCCAAGCGGGCAAAGAAAATGTGCCACAGGCGAACAACAGTGATCGGAATGTAGATGAGCTGGGACAGAGCGAGGGAGGGAGGGAGGGAGGAGACGAGAAGGGAAGGGAAGGGAAACTGGACGATGCGACGCGCGAGGCGGCCTCTTAGACAGACAGCAGGCCCTCGAGGGGCGGCCTGGCGTCGCTCAATGTCCCCAATTCGCTCATTTCCCGAGTATCCGCCTTTCCAAGTGGCAAGGCAAACCTCGTCCCTCCGCGCTTTCCGGCGCCCGCCCGCCCCGCCGTGCTCCGCTGAAAGGCCCGCGGCCCGTCGCCCCCCGCTCCTCGTCCCGTCTATCCTCGGGCTCCGCTTCGTCTCTTCCTCCTCCGCTTTCGCTTTCCCCGTCGCCCCTCCCGACACGTGCCCTCTAAATCTAGACCTCCCGTCTGCGTCTGTCGCATTGCTCGTCCCGCTCCCCCGCTGTCCGTCTGCCTGTCCTATCGACCGTATCTTCCACTTCCGGCGCTGTCATGAACCAGACCGGAACGTCCTCGTCCGTCCCGCTGCTTGCGACGCTCTCGAAAGATGGTCTCGGATCGGAGGAGCCTTCTGTCCCTTACGAATGCATCGTCCTTCGACTCGTTCGAGCGCGGATTCCTCCACGAGCATATTCCTCCGCATCCACATTTTCCGTTAGCCACTAGACGTTGTTTGGGACCGGCAGGTGAGCAGGGCTCCAGTGACCCTGCTATCGGATCTGCACCGTCGATTGAGTATGATTCGATTCGAGGGACGAAGCATCCAGTGCCGCTGCTGGATTTCACTGTTTGACCGGCATCCAGTGCCACCAGGTGGCACGTTAAACCTCACACATTTGCGCCCGGTTGTCCGTCCGGAAATGACCTCTCCGGCAGTAACCGCGCTCCACTTACATCCGTCACGGACACGTTGGAACACACGCAGAGCGGCGCGCGCCGCGTGGCTTCTTCGGATTCGCTCGAACATCACCTGGTCCTCTAGTTCACCGCCGGTCCATGAGCGTCGGGACGTCTTCCGGCCGTCGCCCACGTTTCACTCTTGCGTTTCTGTTAAGTCGAACGGATCCCTGGCGTCCGCCACACTTCCGGCTGTCTAATTTCGATCGGACTCCAGCCTTGATGTCGGAAGTTCCCTTCCACCAATCGGCGCTCGATTCCCTGGTCGATATCGAGCAGCGATTCTTCTGCTGTTCCGACCTCTGTTGCGACTGTATATATATATATATATATATCTATCGATATTCTTACCCTCCGTAAGCAGCAAAGAGATGAGGATCGTCGAGAACGAAAAAAGCAAAAGTGCGCTCTGAAGTGAATGATGACGAAAACCATCTACTCTGTAAATGTACGGCCAAATGCCGAACTCAAAAGTACAACCCAAGTGTGATCATAGCTCTCAGTGAGTAGAATGGAGACTACAAGAGCCCACGAGTCTGTGAGAATGAATTAGTGATTAACTGCATGTGAGTGCGAGAATGTGCATGTATTAAAAAGTTCCAGCACATGTAGAAGTCGAGTGCATTCTTGGGGTACTTTGGAAATTAGTACTTTGATTGTATATCGAGAACAATTTTGGATGAGCATATACCAGCATATGCTTAAATTCAAAACCAATCCTTGAGGAAGAGATTTTAGCTTCATGAATGGTATCCACTGTACTTTGAACAAGGGATATTAATCATCCAGAAAAACTTGTTGATAGTCTAACATAATCTTTATGATAGATATAATATAAAGTACATAGCTTACAGTTTGATTTTTATATAATGATAAATTCATCAAACCGGAAGAATGAAGTTTTCAAAAAGTATTTATAACACTAGTAGATTTCTTAATACCATAAATTCTTTGATATAAGAGATCACCATTTTTCCTTGCTTAAATTTTCCAAAAAAGTTTCAAGAAGACAAGATTTCTATCACCATTATTCATTGAGCAACTTATGAATTAATAATATAATTTTGAAGTGTAAATCCAATTTACTCATCAAATCAAAAATATAAAAATATAAAATAAAACACAATAATGTATTGATAACATTTAACTCCAACTTACATAATTAAATTCATCATTCACGATCTTATGAATGTTTCACATGCCACCTGTGGACTAACTCTCATTGAGGTTCATTATATGACTTTTTGCTTGTTTGTCATGATTTTAAATATTAGTGTATTCTCTAGATACTTATAGCCAAACATAAATTTTCCACACAATATGAACTTTCAAAGACATTCAAATGTACTTCTAGATCATATGTTGTCTATTTTTTGAATGGATTAATTCACAAAGATATTTCTAAACCTGCTTGAGATTGTATCTTAATTTTCTATTTTATCTATTCTAAATGTAATCATGTTCATTATTGATGATTATCATGTTTCAAAACTTCACTAAGAATAAAATATTTTGATGATATTGATTTTAGCAAAAAAATTTGCATGGAAATATTATATATATATATATATATATATATATATATAGACCTTTCAAATATTTCATTGTCACTAAATTGAGTCGAGAATATGTAGTTCTGGATTTTGAAACTTCTAGCTACTAAGCCTGCTAGTATGTCAAATATACACTCAATCCAATCAATCAAGACTTTCTTGTCAAAACAATCACAACTAATTAAAAATATCCTTGAAATTTAATAAAGGAAAATAGAGTTACGCTCATTTGTAACTTTCAGATTTTATTCTACTTATTCTGCAAAGTATATATTCAATAGCTATATTTCATCATGATTAGTTAAACTGATTTTTGATGAAGATCATCATAATCAGCTCTTCAGTTAATTACATAATACATGCAATTATGAATTATACAATCACAATATTAAAATCTTATTAAAAATCAAAAACATATCACATATTTTCATTTTGACTTGATATTATTTTATCTTTAATTTTTAAAAAATAATTCCAATCTATAATTCATTCATCACTTTGAAATTAATTATCAAATATAATTATAAATAAGTATATATGTATGCACTTGAAAAATGCTGAAATTTTACTAATCAATCATTTGAATGAAATCTACATAGTTTTAACGTATGTAACAAATCACTTAAAAAATATTACTTTTTTTAATCTGTTAATCTAATTTAATCGACAGTAATTCAGCTCCCTCTTATTTTCTGTATTTGGAGCATCTTTGCGGAAACTACATCGATTGAAATATGCGCTGTAATGATAATTTCCTTCAGGTTAGGCTCCTTGTACACATGTGACACTACCGGGTCTGAGGTAAGACAATATCCATAATAAAACCATTTTCGCACTACCAGGTTATTCGTGCACTTACTTTGCTTGCTCTCTTACATAAATAGCTGATCTACTCTTATAAACCATAATCAAATCAACTAGAACTAATCCAGATCTGAGCTTATTATTGATAATATTCTTCTGATTCAAATCTTAAATCTATAACCTCTACGAAGACAAAACTTCTAAAATAAACAAGCATAGCTTCTTTTATAAAATAAAGTAGACTAAGAATAAACAGCAGGCAAAAACAGATAGAGTAACATTATATAGAAAAAACATTTGAACATGCAAAACTACAATGTGTCACAATGTATTGACATTTATTTGATGAATGATCATTTTGATAAAGACAATAATGATTGAATGTATCTCCAATCTTTATTGGCTCAATCATTCAATCACACACATCCTGTATTAAAAACGAATGCATGATGTGATTCACTCTACTGTCAATCAACTGATTCATATTAAAAGTTTACAGCTTGTTAACTATCATGTTAAAATTTCACTTAACAATTTGTTTTTACGACAAGCATGTTTAATCAAAAAAATTTTATTTGCTACTTTCACTATTCTTAATTCAATTTTTTTCTTTCATTCAAGTGCACACTTTCATGAAATTTAAAACTTTGTTTAAAATTTTATTTTTTATGCATTGTCCTTGAATTTCACATTGATATGTTGTTTCATCTATAACAAAAACATATTTGGTTCCCTTAGTTCATGCGAAATATTTCACTTAGTTTTTAACATCAAATTTTTCACAAAAATGTGATAAAAATGTGAATTGAGGAGCTAACATTCATTCATTACTGTTCACATTGAATGATATATTTTGCATATTTGATTTCAATTGTTTTTTTATACTCATATTTATTATTTTGACCCAATATTTCCATCATAAATTAAAAAATTGAAATATCCTTAAATTTATTAATATCTGATATATTTCTATCTGCATTTAAAAAGTTATGTACAAAGTATCTCAAGAATAATGATTCAACATATATTTAGCATGTTACACATAAATCAAATTTCATCTGTGTGATTTTTTTAATCATATAAAAATCGCTATATTTATTTTCTAAAATTTTATTTTGTTCATACAAGCATTTTAACCATCTGTAAATTAATTTTCATTGTTTTTTTTTTCAAAAAGAATCTAGATTTCTCATGAAAATCATTTGATACAACATACTTTGAATTCAAAATAGAATCATATGGAATCAAAAAACACACAACGAGAACATTTTAGCATATTCACAATTAGATTTTAGATTTCATTGCAATTCATAAATTGAGTAAAATTTATATATTTTTTATCATACATCTGAATTTATATATCTTTAATATTTCATCAATGGGATTTATTTAGTTTGTAGATTCAATTACTGTCAATTTTTTGCTGAAATTTTAAAATTTTCAACAATTTTAAAATCCTTTTATGAACAGTTATTGCATTTTCTTTCATTGTCGCAATTCATTCAAGTAATATCATCTTCTTTCAAGATCAAAATCATATCATCAATAAAAAATGATCCTCATCTCTTGACAATACTAAATTAATTTATTTTTCTAATTGTTCAAATCAAAAGTTCAAATTGACGGTACAAACATATTGCTTGCTAGTCACAATTTCTTACTTTTTTTTTTAGCATACGGAAATCATTAATGTTTTTTAATCTTTCATGTTTCTAAAAATCGAAAATCCGGCTATTTTGATAGCAGCATCCGTTTTTAGTCATCAGATGAAAGTTTTATTACATTACATTATGAAGACTTAGCTAATTTTAATTTTTTTCAATGATAGAGATCATTGACTAAATCATGTTTACAAACAATCAACTTATATGTGAAGGCATATCATGATGCATAATACATGATTTTGATAATAAGAATATATTTTTAGAATTTTTTTGGGTTTTTTTTGAACATAAAAGTATATGCATTACATTCACAAAATAATCAATATTTGTAAGTTGAAGTCAAATTTTATCATATAATCAGTATCATTAGAAGAAAAATAATATTTCAAAATAAAGATTTGTGTTTACAACTTTCTGCTAAAACTATGTTGAAGCTGATTAATTCAGTATATTATTTCTATTTTTCAATAGTAATGTTCAATTGACCTGTTAAAAAACAACTCTGGTTGAAAAAATTTTGATGTAATGAGGAAAAAAGTTATGTTAAATGTGTTTTGTCATTATCTGATTTGATACTTCATACTTTTGATGTTTAAAATAAATGAACATCAATGTTAAAATTATTGAAAAATAAAATATATTTTTATATTCAACATGACAATTTTGTAAGTGTCGTACATTTTTGGAAAAAATTGAATACAAAAATTTCAATAAAAATGATAATAATAATAGTTTTTCTATTTCTTAGTTATTATTATTAAAATTCTTATCTAAAATACTTCTAATTTATTTTTATAAAATCACTCCTATCAGATCAATGAAAATTTATTATATTCATATAAAAAAGAAATATTCTATATGTACATATACATCACTTATACATGTCTGATTTGTATTTGATTTTTCTGATCAAGATTCAAAATAATCTTGATCAGAAATACTTTTATGCAATTTTTTTCTAAAATTTATAAATATATGTGGGTGTTTGATACATTTTGAAAAATAACTCTTGCTTGATGAATTCTTTTTTGAGAAACAAAATTTGTAAAGTTTGTACTCAATAAAAAATATTATATCAGAATTAAAATGGATGTTCATAAATTATTATTTACTTTACAAAATCCACATTACTTTAAGAAAGACTCACTTATATTAGATATATACTAATATTTGCTAAATCAAAATTTGTATCATAAGCTAAAATAGACAAGGACACATTTCTTCACTGATAGGTGGCATATATTTCTGATCATATCATTGGTAAGATGCATGGCATCCTTACAGGTCGTTTGTTTTAATAAGCGATGGCTCCACAATTTGACTAATATTGAGGTACACTTCTCACGGGAAAGAGAACAAAGAACAAAGTCTTCTCATCATCTACGGATGATGAGATGTCTTCAACCGCATTTGCGAGCCACAATGATCCTTTCAATCACGTTCAGACCTAGTAAGTTAGTGGCTAGGTTGATGTTTATAAACTATATCCCAAACTAAGTATCTTGTTGACGTGAAGATACTAGACCAGCAAGAACCTCCTCATCGGAGAAACTGACAAGCTTTGACTGAGAAATGGAGAGAAACATACATGCTAACACTGAGAAACTGTAATGTGTGGCTTGTCACTGGTACTAAATTGTTAGAGCCGTGTGAGATCACCTACCCGTGCGTCAGAAAGGCAAATAAAGTAACAATCGACAGAAGATTTGATATTGTAGACAATTGAGGTCAGAACCTCCAGGAGACGACTTTTTTGCAAGTACAGTATGTGGCAGCTTCTCCACCTCACCTGGCCTTAGTCGTCAGTGCCCGACGTACCCCTCTACATTCGAAGCAGTTCGCCCATAACTTGCGTGACAGTGGTAGGGACAATTGGACATGTCCACGAAATTCCACATAAAAAACATTAGGCTTTGATGGCTTATCTTACTCTCAAGGCGAGTGTGCTGTTTGTCGAGGATAGCAAAGGTACATCTCCACTCCTGACATGGACACTCTTATCGTCCTTCATCGCTGGGTTGCATGACGTACACCCTCAGCCTAGAGTGAGGCAGGCAGCCTGCAACAGATTGGGAAGTGCTCGATGTGATCGATTGGGAAGTTTTAGCCTTGCGCGAGCGCTTTGAGAAGTTTCTCAGCACTGAGGATTCGAGAGCGCACGCACAACGAAAGGACGATCGACATCCCCAGCTTCGCCAAGCTCAACTTTTGAGGCGTTGTCACCTTTCGCACGGAAGTCAGTAGGAGTTGCATCGGACGGTTGCTGTACATGACATCAACCAGCTGAATCGAAATCTGGTATGCTATCACCAAGAAGTACGTGCCGGGCCATTTCCACCAAAGATAGACACTGCATTGCCTCGGCCTCTGGCCGGTGCGATCTTCGGTGTCTACGACGTGCGTATGATTGGTCGATCAAACAGTGAGGAGATAAAAGGACATGGGTTTGTGGTTCAGGGCTCTGTAATATATTACTCGAGTGCAATGTCGGTAGAGGACAAGAGGAGAATAGCAAAAGTTTGGCCTCCGAGGACATATGTCCATGCTTGGCAGTTATTTCCTCGTGAGTGAGCCATTCAGCTACTCTTCGCAACAGAAAAAGGAATCGAAGGTTTCCAGTACATAGTGGAGCTGCAAAAGGAGGTTGAGGATGAAAGCGATCAGTACACCGTGTTCCAGATTCACTCCCACCATTCGGTCCGTCTCGGAGCTTCAAGGACCAAATCATGGCTAGGGCGGTTTGACTTGCTTCGTACAAAACAGAGACCGAGTGCAAAAGAAGTCTGCAGATGGAGACTATGGCTGGCCGACATTTCTTTCATTATCGCATGTCTGCATTTCCTTATCGAGGACATGCTTGCCAGAATTCGACGACCTGATATTTCTACCGATCAACAACCATCACATCTCATTGATAGAGAGAATTTGAGCTGCTCAAACATTGATCTTGTGGTTTAGATAATATATCCAGCATGGTAGATTCAGTTAGTGTATCTGGTTGAGGTGACACTGTCTCTGAACTGCAGGTGAATTTAAGGTCACGTAATATCACAAAAATTCTATTGCTAAAAATGCGTCCAGCTCTTGCCTAGCGTCACCTGCAGTTCAGAGACAGTGTCACCTCGATCTCAACCTCAACCAGGTACACTAATTGAATCTTAAATTCTGAATAGTATTTTCTCTAGCTCGTCGGACATGACATTGGCCGTTGCAAGGTGTAGATCTGAAGACCTCAGAACCATTGTACTTCGCGTATTTCACACACCCTACAGTTGAGTCTTATGCACAAAAGACATTCACAGACTTTAGCGTGGACATGTGCAGTGAATTTCACCCAATGTTCTGCATGGCAGTCTACTACTCTGTAGTAACCTTCGGACCCAATGTCAGCAACCGTCTGGATATTTTGAGTAGGCCCTGGGCTTCCTCAATCTTCAATGCTTCCCATCCACATAACCATTGACGGGGAGGGGAGTCAGAGCACAGATGATCTCCACAGTTCCATCCTCATTCCTTTGGACGATCTGCTGACACAATCATCTCGGCACATCATATACTCGTGCCCACTGAGCTGAGGCTCCGACAGTGAAACAAATCGACGATACTCCAATCTCTCAAACTAGCCGCTCTCTGTTGCTGCCTAGACGAGCCTGCGTGCAGAATCCAGAATCCAGAAACAGTAGAGATGGAGGTAGCTGTGTTCTGAAAGCATCCATGCTCACGCAAGCAGGGCCCACCTGTAATGCCTCCTCCTTTACCGCCCTTGAATCGTTTTCGAGGAAACAGTTTATTCGTCAGTCCAAGATTCACGTCCGGAGATCAGAGAAAGATTTCCCCACATTCACTTTCAGAAAAACAACCAGAAAACGCTGGAGTCCGAGATTCACAAGCGAGCTTATCGGATATCACCCAGTTTCCGAGGGTACCACCCAGTTGAGGATCAGAATTGGATTCATATTGGCGTACATGGTCGGGTGACAACGAAGGCCTCATGTTTACCGAGGATTTCTATCCAGACGGAGTCCACAATCCTTCAAAGTTGATTGAAAGTCCGGTGTCTATTGATATCCTTAAATACCACAACTTCTACTTACCTCTGTTCTCGTTTCTCGAGTCACCAGAAGGAAGTATACGGTGGCTGACATCAGAATTAGGCACTTGTGATATTACGTGACCTTAAATTCTGTCGCTCGTTCCCATGTCGACAACGAATATTGGGAGTTCCAGGCTTGACTCACAAGTATTCCCTGAGCCTAGTAATGTTGCTTGGGGGAAGTGTTCTAGATTACTTTGACATCTGTTTCTATCACTGTTCTTTTCCACGCAGTAATTTACATTTTTAATCTAAGACATGGTAAGCTTCCATAAGAAAGCTCATAAGAAAATGCAAAAGTCATTCTTCTATATATTCGATTACAAGACTGTGGAAAAATGCTCGCGGAGATGTTTAAATAGAATATCTTCGAACAGTACAGTATGAAGAATCCTGATGGAGTGACAATTCTGACGGAATCGGATGCTACGAACACTTCTGTTTCATCCATTTGAGTGATATATAGTAAGTGCATGATCGTTATGGATACGACGAGTGGAAAGTTCATTCTAATAATACATCCACTATTGCAGTGGACTACAGTGGATGTATATTTGGTCAAAATCCATCAATGGATGTATATCAACAGTTTAACGGATTTTGACCAAGTGTTCAGGCAAACAATCGAATGCAAATGATTTCAAGACTCCTTCACTAAACACTAAAATTTAAGGAACTCAGTAAAATACTTTGTTACACCGTTCAGCGCAACCTGTACTCCCAGACCGTTCTTGAATGTCCCATAACGAGATTTTATCATACATATTTCCAAGAAATCCCACTCACATGGAATCCCGAGTTGTGTCGCATCCTTTAGTTTCCAGTCTCCAGGTTGGAGTATATTTTCCTGGCAGTCCTCATCACCTCCAGTTCTAAGATTTCCAATGTGATCTTAGCTCCGTTCACGTTATGGTTCTGTCCCTTGATCTAGTGATTATTGTTAACCTTGACTTTAGATTGGATCCATGTGACCCCCCACGTTTCTTCTACTTCGACTTTTCCTTTGACCCCTTGATCCTTGCTTATTAACATGAGTATCAAACCCAACTCTATAAACCCTTGGAACTAGTATCTTCTCGTCAACAATATTCCTTCAGTTGCTTTGGGCAGCACGAATACGATGTTGTCTGACAACGGACTTCTCACTGAGAGTTGCAGAAGCTCAATGCCGGCCTCTACTTGATGATCTGCTAAAGCTCATTCCAGGCACTATTCTCCGTGGTTGAACATGTGGAAGATTTCTCTATACACTTCCGACCGTCATTTCTTCAGGATCAGTGACAAGAGTTGTGAAGAGCATCTTTCAAAAACTCTTTAAAGCCAGAAAGGCTCTACCGTTTGAAGTTGATGAAAGCGTCAAGTTCCTGCTTGGCTCGATCTCACTTCAGACGATCTTGGGCTTAATGTCCATGTTGCGATCAAACTATCAGTCTGAAAGCGCAATCACGCGTTCCTACCTGCCTGTCTATGCTCTTCTGTTTTCTATGAAAGGGAAAAAGTCATCCATTTTAGATGGCCACGATTAACTTGTGGAGATACGTAGTACGATCGCTTTGATAATCATTTCATCTTTCTCACCCACAACCACTCTCACCCGCATGATCAACAGGCCGACACAGGCCACCAAAGCATCCCACCAGGATTACCACAAGTCTCAATCCATGGGACAGACAAGAAAACGACGATATCATCCCCATCTGAATTATTTCCGTTCGACTTGTTTCTTGGAAGTCATACATGCCTGCCTGTCTATGCTCTTCGGCTTTCTATGAAAGGGAAAAAGTCATCCATTTTAGATGGTCACGATTAACTTGTGGAGATACGTAGTACGATCGCTTTGATAATCATTTCATCTTTCTCACCCACAACCACTCTCACCCGCATGATCAACAGGCCGACACAGGCCACCAAAGCATCCCACCAGGATTACCACAAGTCTCAATCCATGGGACAGACAAGAAAACGACGATATCATCCCCATCTGAATTATTTCCGTTCGACTTGTTCCTTGGAAGTCATACATGCCTGTAACACATGGCAGCGGATACAATCACTGCAACAAAACTGTAATTACTCATCCAGAGTCAACAACTAACCTCTGAGCTACCTACAGATTCCATGCTTAATGTACGCCTATATCTCCTCCATTTAGCATGTAAGAATAGTCCTGAGATAGCAGAACAAGGCCTGAAGCACAAAAAGCAAACAAAGAGAATTCTCGTTAGTTCGAGACAAACTGAACTCGGAGGTAAGGACCTTATTCTGTTCGTTTCAACAAGAACTCTGACAGATTTAAGGTATTGGGTCGCTGCAATAGCTGTAACAAACTGTTCTTAACAGAGGACAGGCTGATGGCGCAAGCAGCATAAGATCCTACCACATATACATGAAATTGCTATACACGTAGTCTAGTAGAAATCTAATGACGACAACGAACGCCGCATCCAAAATACTATATTCAGTTGCTTCTTAATTCAGAAAGAAGAAAGGTGCTTCTTAAGATTACCTTCTTGGACGCCTGTACATAGAAGGGGTTGTCGATCCCACTCGTACTGAAGTCGTGCAAAGCATTATCTCGTGATTCGGAGTTGACAAAGTTCCATGTTGGACTCAGATCTTGTTATTGATGACGAGTCGAAGCGCAGATTAAATTCACTCCGGCATAGAACGCAGTTGTTCTTATACTTCCATATGTTTCTTCGTAAAGGTGAGCAAGCCTTTTATTTCGAGAGATCAGCCACGCTGTTTGATCTAGCGGAATATTCTGACACAAGTTTGTAGAAGAAAGATGACTTGTTCTGGAGAAGTTGTGACGGGGCATCATACTCTGCAACTTTACCTGCACGAAAATTTTCGTGAGCGACGAGAAGAAACTCCACATTACTCATAAACTTGAGCTGCGCTTTCAGTTCTAAATGCAGATCAAAGAAGCTCTCACAACCCAGCATTTCAAAACTCAGTTGTCCTGCTTGACAAAGTACCTACCATCACTCAAAACCAGAACACGGTCACTATCAGCCACTGACGGAATCCGGTGGGCCACAGTAATTACTGTGCACTTCCCGAACTCAGCTCGTATGGTGCGTTGAATAAGACCGTCGGTTCTGCTATCGACGGAGGCAGTTGCTTCATCCAGAACCAATATCTGACTGCGCTTGAGCAGAGCCCGGCCCAGGCAAAGAAGTTGCCTCTGCCCAACACTCCAATTCTCACCGTTCTCACTAACTGCGCACGCGAGAGTAAGAGGTAAGGCTGAAAGTTCTGGACGAAGGAGGCGTAGACCTGCCTACTGGAAACGGAGCCTCACTGATCATTGAAGAATACATGAAAAGGAGGGAAGGTAAGTTCTGAAAGTCCCACCTGGAAAGTCGAGCTTCGTATCCTTTGCTCGAACAATGTCTCCGAGTTGGCATTTGTCTAGAGCCTGTTGTCAGATGGAGACGCAGCAATATATTTCGAAAAAGTAAGGAAAACTGTTCAGACGCATATTATGTATCGATCTCACTGACGTGTATGCTTTCATTAAACTCTCACTGATTGAGTCAATCACTCGGTCTTACCTCCCAAATCTCAGCATCAGAATATTGTTCAAGAGGATCAAGGTTGACGCGCATGGTGCCTTCAAACAGTGTCGGATCCTGCGGTATGACACTCAATTTGGAACGTAGATCATGTAGACCTATGCTCGTGATGTCAATTCCATCAATTATAATCTTTCCTCCAGCTGGCTCGACTAACCGAAACAGTGCTTGAATCAATGTTGACTTTCCACTTCCTGTCCGTCCCACAACTCCAATCTTTTGTCCACCTTCAATACGGCATGTAAGACCATGCAGTACCAAGGGACTGTGATCGTTGTATCGCACCTGGACAATATAAATACGAACTTTAAACTGTGAGATCCTGACTTGAAAAATGCAGAATGAAGAAAAAGATAAGAATGCAAGATATACCATCTTGTCATTCAAAACAAAACAAAAACTTGCAAATACCTGTATACTGTTTGCGATGGAGTCATCTAAAATGTCTTTGCACAAAAAGATCAGATTTTTTGGTCCAGAAAAGCAGGTAAGAAAGGCTTTCTCACCTGCAGATTACGAAGATCAATGACACCCTCCGATGGCCAGTTCGTCGGAGGTCGAGAATCTTCGATTACATATGGTGCCTCTCTCTCAAGATCGGTGAACTGTTTTATCCTTTCTACTGAAATTATTCGATTTTCCAGGCGGCAAAAGTTCCAAATCCACCAAGATATTATCCCATTTAGCTGCAAGCCGTAAGTGACTGCAAGACCTGCCATTCCTGCATTCATGAACAAAGAGTAAGATCTTTAGGACCTGGCGCATGAACGAAGACGAGCCGCAAGTTTTCAAGTAAGTGATATTCACCCTAGTCTTTGCAGAAGAATCTGAATTTGACACATGAAATGTACTCCTGTTAAATTCTGGTTGGAACTGTCTGACCAGCACACATTACGGAACTAAGTAGTATCACCAAACTTAATATCTAATTCATCATATTTCACAACGTAAATGGTTCTGAATAATGAAACGAGCTACAGTTGCACATGCTGCTGATCTAGACATAGTAGGTCAATCTTCACCTGGATCCAATGCGATAGGAAAAACGACAATGTAGATGAGACAGAACGTGAAAACTACTGTTGAAAGCGACTCCATGCGAAACATCAGCCACTGAATGGCCGAGAAGTTGTGAAAAAAAGCACGGGCATATTGGTCATATAGAAAGAAATTTCTTTCCAGAAACCGCTGCTCTTGCTGGAATCCTCTTATAGTGGCAGTGCCGGCGATGGACTCAGCGTAATGATGGATGATTGGAGCCTTCAAAACTCCTACCATTCTCTGAAGTTCTCTCGACGAATTTACGTAGTATTGCTGAACAATACAATATACACATCGTCTTAGATAAACGTAGCATCAATCTCGGTGGTATATTATTATCTCGAACGACTCATCTTTCCATGAAAACAAAGATCCGACGCCAACTTCTAGCTTAAACATGGAGATGATATATGTCAGGAAGTACTCAATCAGTAAAGAAACGTATACTTACTTGCAACCACAGACACGCTACACTCACAGGTACCAGCACTGCAAGCACCAAGAAGGTCACTTGCGACATAACAGCTACGATACCGATTATCTGTATAGCTGAAATCATGACACCGGTGAGGGTGAACATAAGCTGAGAGTCCAATGCGTTTTGGTCAGAAGATGCCTGCACGAGGAAACGATCAGTTAGCACTAGTTGCGGAGGAACTCTCCAATAGTCAAGGTCATAAAGCGGCCATAAACTTTAGTGGTGCATTATCAAGCTTATAAAGGCCTCGAAAGATAGCTTCTCATTACTCAAGATAAATGTCGATGAAAAACAGCACCTTGATGCAACCGTTTATGACATTCAGATTCTTTACATTGTCTCGTTTAAAGAGAGAAGCAAAGTAAACACTTACCCTACTTAGGATGCGTCCGTTTGGGGTAGAATCGAAGAAGGACATAGGAGCATGGTAGACGGACCGTATCATGTCTTTGAAAGATTTGTTAGCTGCCAGAAGACCAAAAGTTGAGGCTAAAAGAGCCCTGATACTGACAAACAAACAACTGCCAAAGGCGAAAGCGCAATAGACAAGGATCAATGTCTCATTGTCAACTTTGGGAGCCTCATCAACAGCCGCAGGAGTAGACCACGCCATCCAATAGTTGCTAGCTATTTGGAGTACTTGGAAACAAATTTGAGCCAGCAAAATGACAGGAATGAAGGCTCCCTTGTAGACAGAAGTGAAATAGTTCCAATAGACGGAAAGGCTAACCCTTCCTGTTTGTGTTTCCTCATCCTCAACCAGCTGCTTTTTCTCTAATTCAGGCATGATCTCTTTCATACTATCAATGCGTGTAACCGGAACACGGCTAGAATCACCTGTAGCCACAACTTCACTAGACAATGCCTCTACAATAGCCACCTCTTCCTCTTTTTTATAAACACTTGCAGTCATAAACTCTATAGCTTCGTTATGTGCATTGACCAATGCATTAAGATCAGCTCCTCCTTGCAAGAGCTCGTTATAGCTTCCAGCTTGAACTATCTTTCCATCTCGTATGACCTGATTATCATACCAAGTCGTAATTAATCCATGGGAGAAGATAGAGTAACTATCGTTACGAAAAATCAACACAAAAAGAGGATCTGCGGGTTATTGAATGCAAGGAAATTGCGTTCTAAGAATTGGCAGCCTCAGCATTGCTTCGTTGTTTGTGGTACATTAGAACTGAAGTAAGGACAAATGTAGTCCTCTACGATTAAATCTTAGGAACTTTGACCACAAGATACAAATAGTTACATGAGTGCAACGCTAATACGAAGTTACAATATATGAATAAACATAAGGTCTCCGATTGGAACTCACCAAAATAAGATCTGCAGCAGAGAGAAACTCCACTTGATGTGTCACATAAATCACAGTCTTACCAGAGAGAGCCCCAAGTATACAGTTCTGCGCACACAAAGAGTTAAAGCTTTCTGAGCAAATTGATAATCTCCTCATTTTCAGCCATTTTCAAATCCGTGCATCCTCTGATACATCCTCTTCATCGTAACACGTGTACTTTAAGTGCTCTTTCAGTTCTCAGACGACAAAACCTCGTTTGAAGGTGATGGTAGCGAACCAAGGTTGTTGAATAAAACAAAATAGTCTTTGAGAACTAATGTGCTTGACAACAAGTATGAACTTTCCTTAGTAGACAGAGAAATACACACCTTGAACAAATCACTGCCAGTGTGAGCGTCGACGGCACTGAAAGGATCATCAAGCAGATATATGTCTGCATTCAGGTACACAGCACGGGCAAGCTGTATGCGTTGCTTTTGGCCGCCACTCATATTTATCCCTCTTTCCCCAATCTCCGTCTGATCTCCGTAGGCAAAAAGCTCTATATCTTTCTCAAGCGAGCAAATTCTCACGGTCTCCTCGTACCGCATCCTGTTCATCGGGCTTCCGAAAAGTATATTCTCTTCAATCGTTCCACTTTGAATCCACGAAGACTGAGCTACATATGCTGTTGTTCCAGCAATAGTGACCTGCAGCATAAACAATCACAAGGCATGGACAATGCCGGTTTAGCTCATGAGAAAATCAGAGGAACCAAAGAGTTCCAATGAAATTTAAACACAAATATCCTACTCTCGCGAGAAGCATGTAAAAGCCAACAACATGAAACGGTATGTATTTAACGGGAGTAGGTCTAGCTCACCGAGCCTGTAACTTTAGGAATTTCTCCAAGAAGGCAAGAAAGAATACTCGACTTTCCGGAGCCAACTGTGCCACAAACTGCCACTCTCTGCCCTTTCTTCGCCTGGAAATCGATGTCTTGCAGTGTAGGATTTCTCGACAATGGGTCCCAACTGAAATCTGCGCCTTTGACATCAATTGCAATATTTCCTTCAACACTAGGGTCTACACGTTTTACTGCATCCTTCTGGAGTTCTTCCTGCAGAAGATAGGTTTGAAGTCGATCTACTGAGACTCTCGTTTGAGATATCATGGAGAAAAGTTCGGGAATTTGAACCAGAGGATCTGACATTGTAATGAATACAGCTAGTGCAGTAAGAATCTTCCCAGATGTGAGCGCCATGCCGGTCAAAGCACAGGTTCCGAATGTAGCGACAGACACAATTATAGGTGCAGTCCAGAACAGGAAAGTGATTCCGGCATTGACGTAGACGGTTCCCTTCAACCAGCCATACTCCACGTCCCTAAGACGTTCCAACTTTGATAGATACCGATTTTCCCAACCCTGGAGCTTTAAGATTCTCATACTGCGCAAACTTTCCGTCAGTGACTTCATTCTTCTATCTTTTGCTTCCATTAATTTGTCCTGAAAATGGTCCTGCCAGGTAGTGAGAGGCATATTGAGTGCAACGGTCAAAATTGAAGCTGCCAAAGCTGCAATAGCTGCAATACCAACAACCTTGTACAGAACTAAAAGTGCCAGAAGAATTTGCAACGGTAGAATCCATATGTCTTGAAAGAACCAAGCGAAATCTCCAATTCTTTCCACATCAACTGTGACATAGTTGATGATTTCTCCACTCGTGTGGCCTTGACGAGCCTGGTTAGAGAGAACCAGGCCCTTATGGTAGACGAAGGCTGTCATGGCAGACTTGAAATTCAGTCCAAGAAATTGCATTCCCAAAAACCACTGCCGCTGCGCCAGAATCTCCACAACTTTGGACAGGAAAAACAAAGAAACCAAGATCGCTCCTTCCTGAGGGAACCGCCTTCTGCCCGCCAGATACTCCACGAAGTCTTCTATCAAAAATGGACCGACATACGATGCAACAGAATTTGCACCTGCAATAATCGCATTCCATAGAGCCTTTCTCCAGAAGGTTCTGGCAATCGCCTTGTAGAAGGATGGAGACTTCTGATCCCGAGTCTTCATCTCCATATCCCAATTCTCCTTAAATCTGGCATAATGGAAACTTGCTTGGTCGCCCGGAGCAGGCAACGGGACATCACTTAGTTGCAAAGGCTTCTTCGCCCCTTTGGCCATCAAAGGACTTATCCACGATACAGACGCAAGGCTGAAGATGCCTGCGGTTGCATAAGGAGTGACTCCAGGCCCTTCGGCTGGAAGTTCTTCTTTCTCCTCTTCATCGAGGAGACTTTCTTTGAGAGAGTCAGTTACTTTGACGGTCTCAGACAACCCCCTTCCAGCTACAACAAACAAGAGTGCACCAATTGGGATCATAGAAGTCTCGATAACAGCCATCCATATGTCCCATGGTTCTGCCACTACAAAGTTGGGAAGCAGAGTGGCGAGAGACAGTACAAATCCAACAATCCACCAGGCCCTCACCATTGGTGAATACTTCTCCTTCTGATTCCATGAGGAGTATGTGATTGCACCCAAGAGTGCCCAAACTAGAACCTGAATGAATTCAGTGACTTCCGCATGGACTGGCCAGTATTTCCCACGCTGAGCTTGTACGATACCGTAGACTGCGAGGACAATATTTTGAAGTGAGAGGAGAAAGCAGCCTACGATACTCCACAAAAGCACTGGCGAGCGAGGGCAAGTGAAATCCTCATTATTGCGCTGTTTCAGCCGCCTCTCCTGCTTCTCACCGGAGCAAGAGTACCATCCTCTTACCCTCCACAACAACCCTACCAGCCATGCGACCAGGAAGAGCAGATGAACGACCGAAGTGAAGGAATGGATTCCACAAGAGCCAAACAATTTAGGCTGATGATCTTGGGAGTACCGCTGATTCTCAAGGCAGCTTAGGTCTTCACAATCCCCTATACTTGATTGGCAGTATTTTCCCCACGTTCCAAGCCCATCATCTGCAGTACAGGATCCATACGATCAATTCAAATACTTGCAGTGCATCGTCCACGATCGCCATGCCTGTGTTTTTTCATGAAATGAACACATCTCGGAAGACACCCTTGTTGATATGTGACTCGATACATCACAAATATTTCGAATCTCCTTCTCATAAAGTCTCTCACAGCTGTGTTCCCTATACTTTGGTTACTAGTGTAAGCAGACCACTCGCTCTTATGTTCAAAACTCACTAGTTTAGTGTGCAAGATTTTGATATACGTAAGGCTGGCTGTGGCTACTTGAATCTGGATACACTTGATGTACAGACAAGAAGCATGACGATTTGCCACAAGCTACTAACCAATCCAAACAGAAATGCCCGATGGATCCTTGACACCAAACGATGTAAATAAGTAAGGGGTGGTGCGCTTTCGTTCCTCTCGGAGGAGGTACACATAACTCGTGAAAATACCAGACAGATGCCCTGTTTTTGTTGATGACAAAGTTGTGCTCGTAATTGTAGGTTGCAATTTTAAAGCGAGATTTTATCACAGCGTACTTCAAGATTCGACTTCTCGAGAGAGAAACGAATGCAAAAGTGCCAACATAAACTCCAGCTTATTGTTTCAGCTCTCAGACCCGTGAATGACATGAGATTTGCGGGGAGACGAACAGCTCCTGCACCGGATGGGAGTAGATTTGCGCCTAATTTGCGAAGGACTACTATGGCGGTTCACGTCTTTTTCATACATGCTACTCAAAACGTGATAAACAAGCCCTTTCTTCTTCCCCAAGTTCTCTTCTCCGGAATCTACTGATCCTACCAAAAACGGGATTCTTTGTACTTTGAGCTTCCTCCACTAGTTTACACATTGTGACCTCCATAAACTCTACTCAGACTACTTGGATTTGGGCTTCGTAAACAGCTCACAGAATTCGTGCATGTCAGCTCTAACTTTCAAAAAGCTTCCAGTTGAAAATGAGTGTCCTAGTGAAGTAAAGCACTGTGATTTTCGGTGATAGGGCCGTCCTATCCGAAATCCAAAGTGACCATCATGTCAATGTTGAAATGAGGAGCGTGAAAACTCACCGGTCCAAAAATTTAACTGATCCACCAACCACATTGAAACAGGCTGCGAGCTCACTTGGTGTGCTCGATGGCTCCAACCTGTTCGTCCAACTGCTTTAGAGAATTTTCCGCTCTGATTGCTAGCTCCCTCGCTGCGTTATCACTTCTTGATTCGCGTAATAATTACGCGAACAATTACGCCGAGACTGTGTGAGCTGCTCACGACTGTCTTCCCGAATCCCAGATTGGAAATCGTCACCCTCGCGTTTGGAATTTGTTCCAATACGATTATCCTCCTCCTTCAATGCTCTCGTCCCCGATACACACTCTTCGTTAGACCGCAGGACCTGACGAGGAAACGATGTGAATGTGTACAATTCTCCACGTGTCCCCGGACTCTTGCGGTCCTGAGCTACAATGATCTGCCTGGGCTGATCTCACTCTAGCTCAGCTGACCTGGTGAACAGCCGATGAGAGCCCTGGATCAGCCGCAGCTCTCTGAGCCCAGCGGAAATTTCTCCCGCAGACGGCGGTGAGATGCTCATTTCCCACCCAGGTCTGCTGTTTATACCCTCCATCTTCTTCGGAATGAGTTCCAGGAATGAGGTCTCGCCGAATCGCATCCACCTCGTGGAACGCAAAAAATTGACGCAGAATCTTGACACCCATCCACGAATTTTTGTCGGCCTGAATTCTTCTCATTACAAGGCGTACCTCCTACGCATTTTCTGTCTGTCTTACCATCGCCCGGTCACTGGGCGGCGGGGGTGAGTTCTCACCGTCAAATCGCTGGATGACTCACTGTCCTTCGAGCAATGACGCTGGTCCTCAGGCTGCTTGTGGCGGGAAGTGCAGGCGATGGCGAGGGTCGTGATCGATGGGTCCATGCAGCACAAACCTGGGCACGTTGACCTTCGGCTGACCTTTGTCAGCAGAAAGCAATCTTCGGATGTTCCGGTGCATCTGTTGACATCAGCACAGCCGTCAGCAGAAAGTGAATCGATTGTGAGAGACCACGAATTCACAGTGACGATGGAGCAGGCCTATCACCAAGTGGTATTTGGCAATCAGGCTACGTGTCAACTGCATGTCGATTGCGATGACGTCGGGCATGAGGCATCAAAATGGTGGTCCAATCGTTCATACAGCTGTTTCTCTCTTCTCTCTCATATGCTGGTGAGAGAGATCCAGTAGATTGTTCCATGTGAGATACGGGTCCAGATTTCATACGATGACACGATTGGTGCCCTTCTCCAGAGGCGCCCTAAACATCATCGTGCTCTTTTGTCTTAGTACGTGGTTTGGGTACACGGGTAGCAAAGAAAATAGGTTATCGGGGAGCAATACGACGGCTTCGAGTGATGCACCGTGACGGAGTGATGCACCTTATCGGTTACTGTCCTTTAAAATGGGCTTGGTGAAGTCTTTACTCACTACTACCTTAAACATTTGCTTAAGTTTGTATTATGATCTCGAGAATCCAGTGCGAATTTAAAGTTCTTAGTAATAAAACTCGTTCGTTGATCAAATCCAAATTTTGGACAATGTTTTGTTGAGTGAAATGAACTTGCAATCCGTCAACGGCGATAGTCTCAACGACCGGCAGCAAATGAAGATAAACTCATTGTTAAAAAAACAAAACCCGACTTCAATGAGTAATATTGCTCGTCAATTCGAATGTATAAGAAGACACTTTAGAACCTGAAGTCCAACAAAGACGAAATTAAAACTCAAAGTAGACGAAGCTATCTAGGACTCCACATTTCGTGCATCTCATGGGAGGTTTCTTGAACTCGAGTGGATTGGATCTAGTCTTCGTATCTCACTTGGATTGACTTCTAAAATTATTTGTTGTAACAAGAAAATTATCGTCGCTTTAGAAATATCAGAGTAAAAATTCAAGGATTCTTGGGGATGGTCTGCTAGGTTTTCTAGCCAATAGCAAGAGCAGTCAAATGATTCTATTGGATTCACTTGCATTGCTTTTCAATATTATTTTTTATAACGTGAAAATTATTGCTTCTGCTTGAAAAATATCAGAGTAAAAATTCAAGGATTCTTGGGGATGATCTGCTAGGTTTTCTTGCTATTGCCAATAGCTAGAGACGTCAAATGATTCTATTTGACTGTATGCATTGAATAAATAATAAAATGTTAATAAAGTTTTTCTGAAAAAATTATAGGGATTTATGTTTACAGTACTGCAAAGTGATTAGAAAAGCAAAATGATTTTTTCTAGCCGTGGGTGTAGATCTGAATCCTCCTCCTCTTCATGGAGAAGAAAGTTGAACGCTACTAGGCTACGAAATTACTCGTTGTCAACGACCAGTAATTCGCATATACGGTATCGAATTTCTTCATGTTGCACGTGTATCCAGCGACTTGGAGTGGAGGCTTTGGTCAGCTCGGCAAGAAGATCGTTCAGCGACCGCAATTTTAGTGTAACTTTTTGACGGTCATCTGGTGATCAAATTCTATCTGGGTAGAATTTCCTTGGCTCTGTTATTGCGTCCACCTACGACCATCCACTTTGCATAGTATGCAGAATGCCAGCCTGATCATCGACTCCGAGCATGAGCCATTGAAAAATGTGTGTCCGTTTCGTCGGTGTGCAATGGCTTCTCTTTGACTCTTCGAAAAGTACAAGAAATCATAGTCGTAAACATATGAGAAAAACCATATTTTAACATCCTCCAAGCAAACAATAGGTGATTTGATATAACTACCTGCGTAAATCGCAGAGCGATAGGCTAGCTTTCAAAAAAAGAGTTTTCCAATCATTGATATTTTATCTATGTTCGTTTTCTCAATTTGGGAAGATTGCATTGGTACAGATGATATTTGCTTATCTTCTTGTTTTCTAGATATTATTTTTCATACAATGGTTCTATGAGAATTTAAAAGAAATATGTGGAAAACCAATATGAAGTATTCAGATTTTGAAAATTTCTCATATATTCTTCCTAAGTGAAATTTAAAACATTACACATCGGACAATGTACGTAGTTAGTTGTAATTATGATACATATTTTTCCTTTATGCTTTTTGCAGCCATCATGGATGAGAAAGTATGATGCGAGGTATTAGAATATCATGACATAACAGAAATCAAAATCGTTGTTATGTCTTGATAGATTGCATATTTGGACTTTCTCTGTATACAACCCCACACCTAACTTAAGATTCTTGTGAGTAATGACCTCCTTCGAACCAGCTTTCAGGAGAAAAATCAATGTTGAGATGTGGATTGACTTTACGATGATTATTACATGAAATTATTCAGTAAGAAACGCCACGTTTCCCTGCAGTTCGTGCAATTGGGAATTCAGCCACACTGTCTCAGAGAGCTGAAGAGAGCTACCTCTAAATTCCAACAGAACGAACAGTAAACGGGGGAAGAAGAGAGGCAAGGATTCAAAAACAATGATTCACCGCTTCCTGGGAGAAGACTCGACGATATACTTGCCATTGCAGTGCTGCACCGAGGTCATCCATCACTTTCAGTTGACTTCATCTATCCACTGGTTAGTGTAATGGAGTACAGTAGTCTCCCGGTTAAGTTCGCACTTTGAACCCGGGAGTGCTGTGCGTACTTAAGAATATTGATTTCCTAATCGTTTGATTTGAGCGTAATGTCAAATGAACTTTATATGAACACTCCTAAATGACTTGGCGCTATTTGATATCATAGAGAAATTGAGCAAAATCATGATTCCATTGGAAGAGCTCGAACTTGCAAGTGACTCGATCATGAAGATAAGACAAACGGAACAAATCACAAAGTTAAATTGAGTAAATGTATTATGAAGTTAAAGAGAAGACTTTGTAATCTCACTCTTCTAACATCTATTGATACAAATAAAACAATATTGCATTGAGTTTATTGATTTCATATATGAACTCCAGCACATATTTGTAATTGCTAAATTGTATTCAATTGCCAAGTGAGTTTTAAAATGTGTTCTTTCTAGGAGAGTGATTTGAAATTTTATCATGGACTCTAGCAACGTTAACTATTATAGTCCAATATAATCTAAAACCTCAAAAATAATGATATAATCTTTTTTTCATTTTGCGATAGTGATTTGCTTTTTTCTCTACTATGAGAGTTTGTCTCTAATGTTAAACGAATATATATCAACCACTAGAGGTTCACGCTTCTAATCAGATAGGAGCAGTAACAGTTTTTGACCTAAACCAAACGAACTACATGTCATGGGTTCAACTTGATTTTTGTGGAAAAAAAATGCGTATTTAACCGGGAGACTACTGTACATTACCAGCTTGACGCCAAGCTAAACTTCTGTCTCTGGAATACGCGGCGAGTCTACCGAGACGTAGACCGCACGAAGACAAGTGTCTAGCCTTGTGCCCTCGATACAGATACAGCTGATCGACAACACTTTCTAGCTTACGTGATCTGCTAAATGATCGAGACCTTGTCTGCGGTCCAGATTGTTGTACTGTACTGTATGCAAAGCAGGTAAGCACCAACGAAGCCTTATAGGCACGTAGAGCTTGACAGTGCATGAAGGCAGTCTCGATCGACGGAATAAACAGTAGTCATGGTGATCAGAGTCAGAGACAAAGCAGTCAACCGATTCAGAATATTACATCGAGACTCTGAGAGCAGTCTTTCGGCTGGTTGCAGAGGTCCGCATCTGTACCAAGTTCGGACGAATCGGATGACTGACCAGCAGTCTCCACCTTCAAATTAGTTGACGCGTACTGCTCAAGATTCGTGAACAGCAGGTTCACAGGCATTTGTTGGAGATCGAGCGCAGTGCTGCTCATTTGTCCATCGGCCACTTTCCCGATGTGATCATCTCCTCCACTCCGACGAAGGTTGCGTCCTCTACAAGGAACGCCATATCTCTTGCGTAAACCCCAAGTCAGCAACATGGCGACTGCGGTAGCCGCCGGTACTGTCCTTGCAGCATAGCCATCTCAATCTCTGGCATCGATTAGATCTTTACTGACATGTGGTCGGAAGTAAGTAGTTTCGAGGAACGCAACGAGAGATTTCATGCTTGTGAAATAGAGATGTAGAGTCAGTTCAGGAGTTGTTTTGGTTTTGTAAGTTTCATTCATCATTCGAACGAGGATGCTACAAAGTACTCAGTGTATCAGCGAGTTAATTCCACTGATACACTAATTGTTGGCCTGGCCGAGAATTCAAACTTTCCTTGTCTTTCAAATCCGTGGTTCATCCTCGTGAGGTTCGAGATGCCACTTTGTTGGAGAATATGGTCAAACTAGGTGTGGACCAGAGAGACCATGGATGGGTATAAGAGCCTGGAGTGCCAAATGACTGCTATCCCGCCATGTCCCTGGTCCGAAGGCTGATTTCCTGTAGGACCCGAAGAGTTATGCCAGAATGCTAGAAACTCCCAGTGCCTGTACCATAAGCATAGAGATCCCTGCTTCTTTGCTGTGATACTTAGCGTCGAGCTATCGACAGTTCTTTATCTGATATCCTCTCAGGGTGGCATTGCAAAATGTGTTACTCGTTCGTAACATATAGTTACTTCGCTCTTTTGCTTCTCATCTGAATATTGTAGTAGAATTATGAATATGTGTACCTTGAAAGGTTAATAGACTAAAGCGGATAACTATCCAACTGAACCATTGATTCTGAAACAATGTGCGTTCCAAACCACTTCTTAAAGTAAAGCTTTAATGTAGAGCCAAGCTTTTTATTTTCATTATTTTGCTTTCGTTGTCTCCACATATTGGGCTGAAGGTAAAACATTTCCATCAATGGCTGGGAATGAGGTTTTTATGTAAATATGCCGAATGATCCCGGTATAACGTTGTTGATTTGGAGCCAGATTTTGCACGTAATCAAAAGTCCGCTAGTCTACTAATCCGGCCAACATAAAAACAACGGGAAGACTCGATCAACGCGAACAAATTCTTTTTAAGTGGACGTGACACATGTGTCAATGGTTCAGTTACATAAGGGTGTATAGTATATAAGAGAGAGTTTAATTCATGCACTAATAAAGTACATTTTATTAGATTACGCTATTTTTTGCTGATAAGCTTGGGTCAACTACAAAAATTTCAGTTTTTCTATCTCAAGTGACTGGAAACTCTTGTATGATCTATCATTCACATCACTACTAGGATACACGTTTTATTCGCGTAACCGGATTCAAGCAAGAAAGACGTCAATTATCAAACTGTTCGAAGGCGCTCTTTGATATCGTGTGCAACATTAAATTACTAAATGATATCACATCGAATAATGAAAATCATTGATTCAATAATTGTAAGAATTGTTAGATACTTCAGTCATACTTACAGTTCAGGTGAATATGAGTATTTATGAAAAATACCAACTTCCCATAACTGAAGTGGTCAAGCTATGAATATCCTATGTCGTGTATTGGTCACGGAGGTGCTCTTCTATATCCAAGTCTACATTCATCATTTCATCTATGAGATTTGCCTCGGGTTACCAATTCTCAATCCACCTTCTGTAAGAATACAATCACATTGAGGTACGTAAGTTTGCAATGTCACATAAATGTTGACATTCGGAATCTGGATCGTACTATCCATGCACCAAAGAAAGACGACACTCAAGCACGGCGGCCTTCAAAACGATCACAGTGGAGGAATTGACGACCGCGTTGTCTATGCGACCAATTCTTGTGGACCTAGTCCACTGACAATGCAGGACATGGTCGAGTCATTTGTGCCGCATATCTGAACACGGGTGGTGTCCTTGGCTTGGCGATTCACATCACAGACAACTGCAAATCATCCGCAGGACTCTTACCAGGAATCAAAGATTGAGGGTCGAAGAACTGAGATCGACTTTTTCTGTTCACGACGAAAGCCATGACCTGGCTCTCAAGCCTTATATGAAATATAATGAGGATGCAGCGCATGGATTGGAACCTTGATCATAATGCTTGCAAAAGACTCAAGATTCCCACCACATCCAAAATCATGTCTGTGAAGGTACGATGAGCGTACTGTATGATTTCTTCCATTTTCTTATCATTTTGTGCGTAAAATACATGTAATAAACAAACAAGTACCAAGGAGCATAATGGTACAGATTTATTTTCATAGGGACAAAATCAACACAGAAAAGTAAAAAACCGTTATTGATTAACATTCTATTGAAAAGTTTTATTTCTCAGGCACATGTCACTCCCACAAGACACTGTTCGATTACGACAAAAGGTCCGAAAGCAGAGTATAATCACACACACAAACTAAAAATTGTCCAATCAAAGCCTGCACTTAGTATTCAGGGAAAAACTTCCTAGAATTGCACACTCTAAAGCCTCCTGCTCCGTATATCCAAATTCAAACTTGCTTAAATCCCAAATAACCCCAAGTACACTCTGAACATTCGAATCGGACACTAGCGACTTCAAATGCGGTATCTCCAACATATTGAAGCACATCAGGCATGGTGACAGACGCGGACACTAGCGACTTCAAATGCGGTATCTCCAACATATTGAAGCACATCAGGCATGGTGACAGACGCATACAACTTCACGAACGCGCACGATAAACACAGATTGAAAACCAAGAGAAGTCAATTGACAGAAAAGACCACTAACAAAAGAGCCTTGGACCTCTTTATTCACTATGAATTCCTAGACAACTCAACCGCATGAGGTGAGCTATCATCAAGCGCGGAAACATCCGACGCAACGGTTACTGCGTCCGCTGAGCTCCCATCCCCTCCTAGTCTATTCAACACGTCTAGAATCTCTAGCTCTAAGTTCTCCCCCGCTTCTACTAACCCAGAAGAGAAAGAATTGACCGATACCCGACGGTTCCAATGGTCTTGAGCTTCATCAATCGTCGCTCCAGCGAATCCAATTTCATCCACTTCAACGTTTGAACTTTCCACTCAACAAAATCGCGCAAACATCTCTCAACCCGCAAACGCAAACAGTCCGTGGTCTCCTCCTTCAGTTGTCAAAACACCAATTTTGCCGCTTCCACTCTGGTCCGCGACGTCTCTAACTGCTCCTCAACCGTCTTCAACTGATCTCGCAACCGATCGCAATCTGCATCCAACTTTAATCTACATTCGACCTCCAAAGACTTGGCAGTCTCGCAATACGTCAATCTCTTTGTCCAACTAGCCACTTGAGCCTTGTGTTTCTTCGTATGCTCCGTCAAACTCGCCATAAGTTCATTCGCACGTTGCATCTCTTTGATGTGAGCTTCCGTGGGGCCGCAATTCTTACCCAAAGTTCTATACTTTCAGTTTTCATAGTCGCAAACTCTCGCCGAAGACCTCCGGTTCTCAATTTTTCCTCCTCACAAAGCTCCTTCTCCTTGATTAGGTTCAACCAAAGGACTTTGCACTCCATATTCTTTGTTCGAAGTTGCTCCTCACGCACCTCGCTGCTGCGCACTCTACTGTCACCCTCTTCATCTCTTCAACAGTCTTCTTTGAAGCTGCTCTCTTGCTTCAGGTTGTATTCCTAAGCATCTGTACATAAAACCCAACTTCCTCCGACACCACGTACTTCTCGCGCGTCCCGTCCATGTACTTTAGCAAGGGAACTACACTGTACCGCAAGAAGTCTGGGAACGCGACTGCCACCTCATTCGGCTCTTTCGACGAAGATCTCTTTTTGACTTCAAGTTTTGCCATCCCCGAACACACCTGAGGCGGTGGAATCTCAATGGATTCCACAATTATTTCTCCAATCTGCTCTACTACATGCTCTTGTATCTCCTGTCCAAGAGTGAGCTTCTTCACATGCTTCTCGCTAGTCTTCGGCTCTGGCACGTCTGCTCTATCCAAAGATCTACTACTCTTATCCGTAAAAGTCTACTTCTACTTCGAAGGCCAAAGACCTTGACTTGAAGTCGCCTTCCTATCCCCCAAAAATCTCGCTTCCTCCCATAGAGGTTTCTCACACTGTACCCCCAATGGTACATACTCAGGAGTTCAAAGATTTTCTTCTGCAACTACATTGTCGTGCGAATACATATCGCCATACACTCTACATCGCTGACATGCTACTCACATACACATACGCACACATACACACATATAAGGCGCGAGAGAGTACACACTCAAATGTCACAACTGAAATAAACGGGAGATTTCCCACTGGAATTCCCGTCGGTCAATTACCCTACTGGCAACAAACCGTCACCGTCACAAACATGAGTCAAGCCCAACCCACTCCACACTCGGAGAATCTAGGTCGACGCAAAGAGGAAAGTCTCTCCACGCTCCCAACGCTTCCAGGCTCGACTCGAAGAACTAACGTTCTTCGAGCCGTTCCCGACTCTATACCCCTCGTGACCCGAACCCTATTTCCACGTCTAAATATAGTAAGTGCCTAAACTGCGTGAGCCGACTCGTAACTACATGACAGCTGTCGTGCGAATACATATCACCATACACTCTACATCGCTGACATGCTACTCACATACACATACGCACACATACACACATATAAGGCGCGAGAGAGTACACACTCAAATGTCACAACTCGCCCCCCTACCTGGCGGTCAGGTCCCTCTGACTCCCAGGTAGTTCTATCTACAACTACATGCTATACACCTTCGTGGGTGCGCGAACCAGTAGGCCGGGTGCTATGTCGCCCCATCATTAGTCGTCTATCTGCAATTCATAACATGTGAAGATCAAGTCATCTATCTCTCTGAAGTACATCGAGGACAAACCCATCGTCCAGCCGGAATAACATAGATAGGCGGAGTCAGGCACAACATGTGCCATCCCCTAGAACACCTATCACACACCAACATACGGGCCGCCTGACTAGCTGATCCACACAATATGCACCTCAAGCCAGCACGTACTATCGCTAAGCTTGGGTCCATAGTGCCATCTACATTTGGGAGGTGACATGGCGCACAATTGCGCACATGATCCTTCCAAACAACGCCGTCATGACCCTCCAACAGGAGAACTCCAGAAAGTAACACCTCCCGCACCCGCAAGATTGTGCGTCCCGCCATCACATCCAATGTCGTCGGTGCAGTCTGCTGTAGATAGACGTAGTCTCCCACATGGAATCTACGAATTGATGGTCGATAACCTCCTCCCCGAATGGTTGCATACCGCAACGTATCTCTATGTTGAGCAATCGCAAGATTCTCAAACGCTGCAGACATAACTCTCCGAAAGAGCTCTGCACGCTGAGAACATACTCTCACCCACATATTCGGGTCATCAAGGTTCACCACCTCGCTAGACTCACGACGAATCGATGTTGGCAAGTCTGGATCCCGGCCGTACAATAGAAAATATGGTGAGAAGGAAGCCAAGGATGCCTGCCGACTGAATCGATATCCCATGGCCAACCACGGTAACTGGATATCCCAGTCCCCAAGATGACCTTTTGGCAGGCCATACTTGCGCAACGCCCTCTTCACCGTCTGTACAACACGTTCAGCTAAACCATCCGCCTCTGGATGATCTCGCGACGTGGTCCGATGATCAATCAGTGCCTTGTCGCACAAAACCTGAAACTTCGTTCCCTCATCGGTCAACACCTCAGCTGTTGCACCATAGTGACTAAGCACTCTGTCAAGGAAAGCATACGCTACTCCCTCACTTGCCTTGTCAGGTAATGCCACCAACTCAATCCACTTGGAGAAATGCTCCATCATCACCAACACATACCGATGATGTCGTACAGTCAAAGATAGTGGTC